AAAAATGAAGGGGCCTCCATCCATGGCGATGCGGGCGGGGGGCTTCTGCCGTTTGGCCTGACCCACGAGTATGCTGGGCATCCGGCCGACGCGCAGGCCAGGGTACCCCCACGACGTAGACGCGGGTGAGATCGGGGGCATAGTCCCCGAATATACATGGTCCGTGGCAGGCGCATTATTCGAGGTTGTGTCAGTTTTCTGGTTACTGTTCAGCACGGTGCTAGAAGTAATGATTGATATTGTTTCCAGGTTAATTAAAGGAGAGGAAGTCGCAGCGCAAAGAACATTTAAATCTGCGGACTTCTCTCTGTTTTAATGAAGCTTGTGGTGGAGCTGTTCCGGGTAGGCACCGTGCTCATCGAGCAATGTATAGGCCTTCCAATCGGGCCTGTCTCATAAAATATAGGCAATGTCAGGCCTTGACGGAATGGAAAGATATATACTATCAAAAAAATTCGCGTATATATTATCGTAATATATGATTAAATTCTTCTCCCACGTTGGAAGTGTATATTTGAGCAGGAAAAATAACGCAAACATGTATACCCCAGCAGCTGATAGCTGGTTGAAATTCCAATGACAACGCTAAGACAGCTTTATTTATTTCATTCAGTTCATCATAGGTAAACCAGACAAAAAATTCTGACATATTCACTTACTGACAATGAAATGAACTTTGATCGCAAATTGGCACACATTGTGTACTATACTGGTATTCACTGTTTTTTCTAAGCTCAAGCAATAATATAGTTTCTTTGATCGATTTTAGATCGTCGTTCATATGCAGGACTATCTTCTTTACGAGGAAGATGGTACATTTTATTGATTGGAATTCCCAGTTCTATGGTGAAACGGGTTTCTGGAATTTATACAAAAGGATGAACAGATATTATAAAATTAATTGAAATAAAATCCCTACGATTTAAGTAGAAAATTAAATTATAGTGATAAACGAGACTTTGTACTTTAGATGTCTAGCTGAACATAATCTTTCCTCGGCAGGACAAATTATTACATACGTATTCTTTGCGAGAACTAAAAATTAATTGAGAATTATTCGCACAGCGCAATTCGCTCCTGCAACATCAAACATTGAAATGCAATGTCTAATTAGAGTAAATACATTTTACAATTAAACACTTTTTATGACTGGTCTCGGAAAATTGAATTTCGTAATATTTCTATGCTTGCTCGCAAAAGGTCTACACGATTTTTAAATTCACATTTGGAGGAGGCTATTTTCCTAGTGGTTGGAAATGAATAAGATTTTTGCCGTCCCTCTTCCTTAATTGATTGATGCAATTGTATATCGAGTAGGGTGGAGGTGGAGTGAAGAATCTCAAGTTTCAGCTATTTATTGAAGAAAGTCGGGCTGAAGTAAGAATCCGCTGATCAACACCTGTATCAGTGATGGCCGTTAGAATCGACATGACATGAACACAATGGAATAACAATACAAAAAAATACAGATCATGCAAATGATACAATTATGACAGTTACACTGAAATATTTATTGCATTAAAATAATTGAATTGTAGTGAAGAACTTAGCGTCTTCATTCCCATTAGCCAGAGGGGGCAGTAGCGCGCTACATGTAGCGGCCGCTACTAGCGGCTGCTACATTTTCAGTAGCGGTAGCGGCGCTACATTTAAGGCAATGTAGCGGTAGCGCCCGCTATATATTTAAGTAGCGATACGAGGTTTTGCCGCTACAGCGCTACCGCTACATTTATAGATAAAGATATTTATTTATTTATAGATATTTTAATTAATAGTATTAATTATTATTTAAAAACCATCATGGTACATACCTAATATAAATTACGGAATAAAACTGTACGAAAGATTTCGGTGTAATGTTGTCAACCTCAGCCTGTTACTAGTGTCAACATGTTAGTTGTGTCAGATGTAGACAGTTTTACCGTTGGCAAACTGATATTTATTGATAAGTTCCTCAATCGAAGATCTTCAAATCAATAGTAGAAAAACCTGAGGGGTTTTGGTTCGTTTATAATTATCGGAATAACTTCATTGGCCAGGGAAGGATAATAACAAGACATGTATCTAAGCGTAAGTATTAAAGATATGGGTTCACAGGATACACTAGATAGAAGTTACAGGATCAAAGCACAGTATGTGCAGTAATTTTGGAAAAGGAGTATAACGACACTGCGTGTTGGTATGAGTGCCGGAGTCTATCCGAAAAAAAAAACAATCGAGATCAAGATAATTAAGTAAGATATTGTTACAGAGGTTGATAATCATGAGTTTGAAGGTTTAATAAAATTAATTGTGACATTCAAGAGAAATACTAGTGCGAGCTATAAATTCGAGTCACTACACACAAAAAGATCTCATAGGTCGCAGGTTTCAATCCTGTATTCATTTCGAAATGGAAGTTCAAAAAATCAGTTTAAAGTGAACTGAAGAATTTGAATTTAGGTAGTAAATAATGATTGAATGAATATTTTAATAAAATCCGTATTGCAAAAACTTTCGTTGCCAATTGCACAGCGGAGAGTTTTTCTATAGTTTTAGCTCACGCCATGCCCATTAAAACGGTAAAATGAGCCATTCCTGAAACTGTACATGGTTTCTACCCTCTGCTCTAGTATCTCTCCTCTTTCTCTCTTCCACCAACATTACATAAATGAATATGGGACGCGAGGTAAGTGGCCGTATCGCAGCTTTGACTAGTATCCTGACAGCGTCATCTCGCCCCAAATTTAAACCCAACAGCTGAAGCACACTAAACTTCGCCAATCCGCAAAGCATTACTTTGATTGCTTCATTAGTGTTCACGGCCCATTAACTTAACATAACATAGTGATGTTGTAGAGGTTTGACACGCAGGTGTTCTCTAAACGAATCTGCCGCGAGGTCACGAGCGGGCTGAGCGGTTTTAGGCTGGCCATTTGGTTCGTTGGCTTCCGTGGATGAGGTGAGGAGGTGTTAGTGTCCTGTTGTGATTGCCGATTGGGCTCGGCTTGTGTGTAGGAGTCTTACATAGACGCTGTTAATATTGCCGGTTCAGAATTTATATGAAGTTTATTGGACTGTGAAGTGGGGTTTTTTCCTATTGTTGCCTGGGAGATTTAATAGGATATTCTGCTTCCCAGGTGGGAGGGCCTTTTCTGGTGTGGCGTCGGCTTCTGAGATCCGACCGTGTTCCTCTCAGGCGTTTGTTCAAGGGTGTACCGTGGACGTGCACCGTTAGAAGAAGCCGACTGCCTCCAGTGTTTACCCGACGTGGGAGCCGACTTGACCAGTCTGCCCCTTGGTTTCCCGTGTACTCTGCATAGCCGATCCGCGTTGGGCCCCTACCGTCGTACCCTATTGGAGCGCCTAATGACGAGTTAACGCTTGGGGTCGCCCGTTAATGTATTAGGGCTTCCCCTGAAAGAGATACGCGGCTCTCGGGAAGTCGCCGCGTCTCGTGTTCAGTTTTGTGTAAAGGTCAATAAGTTTTAGAATTGTCGCGGGTCGACTGTTTGAATAAATGTCTTTTTTTAGTTGAGTAGCCGATGTAGGTAGTTAGTATTTATATTTGTGTCTAAGTTTCATGTCTAGAGTGAATAAAACTTCGGGTTGAATTTTCTTCTTGTGCCTTAGTAGGTTTTATTGCATGCGTCATCCCTCGTTACCAGTAGCGTCTCCTGCCCGGGGACCTTAAGCGTTTAGGTAGCTCTGTTATATTTATTAATAGTTACCCGCTCTCCCGTAACAATGTTATCGCTGTAGTGGCTTGTCGCCGATTCTTGTACTTCTCGTGACTTGCTCACAGAAGTTCTAAAATCGTGTCATTTGACCGGAACTTTTCAAGACTGACGATAGTTTGAAATAGCTATCTAAACTTCCACCGGGTTTGATATAGACATGGTGCTAGGCATTTCAAATCTGAACATATAATTTTCCATAGCTTTATCTAGTCTGTTCTTGAACGCGTTCATACATTGATTCAGTCTCTTCATGTTCGAAAACTGCGTCGAACATAAAGCGTTAGTGCAACGTCCAACGTTTCATTTCAGCTTGTGCCAATCTTTGTTTCATTATTATGGCTTGTCACCTCGTCTCAAGTAAATATTATTTCTTATCATATCATAGTGATGTTGGCGCGGAAGGATAGGACTGATGTTGCCTGTTACCGATTATTGTACTTTTCGTGACTTGTTCAAAGGATATCTGAAAACAGGTCCTTCGAACTTATTTTTTCCAAACAGACGATAGTTCGAAACAGCTACTAGACTTCCACCGGGTTCGATATGGTGCTAGACATTTCGGGTCTGAACGTATACTTTTCCATAGGACCATAGCTTTATCTAGTCTGTTCTTGAACGCGTTCATACTCGGAGTGCCAACGACGTTATCTGGACGTAATCGTAATCGGGCTGTTCCACGTGTCGGTGATTCGAAGCGAGAAGAATGTTGTCGTGTGGATAAGTTGCTGCGCAGGTTTTTTAGTTTATAGCCGTGGCCCCTGGTGTTGGTTCTTGTTTCAAATTCTAGTAATCTTTCGGGGACCTTGTATAAATCATGAGTATACTTATATACTTCAATGAGGTCCCTACGCAGACTTCGATAACTGAGGTTTGGAAGCTTCATAATCATTAATCTTTCTTCATGGGACTTGCCCTTCAAGCCTGGAATTATCTTTGTTGCACGTCTTTGTACATTCTTCATTAAACTTTTGTCCTTTTCAAATCGTGGTGACCACACGTTTCCAAACTCTAGATTCGGGCGCACGACAGATTCATGACCTAAAATAGAATAGATTCTGGCGACTAGATTCAAGACCTAGAATAGAATAGCTCAATCAGCTAATAAATTTGGTAGAGTAATAACATATATTATTCAAATATCAGCAAAAAATAAAAAAAGTTGATCATTCAAATTCTTTTACACAATAATTTTCCATTCAATAGTTTTGAAAAATGTGGAAAAGGAAACGAATGTGAAATTTTCCGGGATGAACAGCAACGTATCAGTAGTCAGTCGGTCAGTTCGGATTAATTGTTCGCCACGCTAGAATGAGCATTCTCTCCGATTTTCCGGTTCGAGCTGCGGTCGACGACGGACGTTGGTAAGAGCTGTGACACTTTAAAAATCGGTGAGTAACCTATCTGAAGGCTCTCTTGAAATAGAAATTTCGATATAATATCTCTTAGTTTGTTTTGTAGGTCCAATTAACTTAGACAGGGAAAACGTAGGAAAAAAGCAAATAGTAATTCGTTATCTGGATCAACTGATGACGAGGCTGAGTCGGATTACATTCAGTACCAGTCTCAGATAATTTGAAATTCACTTTCCTCCTTCTGACTTCTGAGCCCTGCACAGCCCATAAGAGATCCATCTTGTTTGCATATCTTCATCAAATATTGTTTGTATGTACTGTAGTAGTCATATTTTGCTGTAAGAGGCCTCAGCTTGACTGCTTGAGCCACCCAGACTGGACCCTTGCCTAAATTATGCTTTTTTGTGTGTGATGCAACATCATGCAAGGCAGGGTATCCTCTAGCTACTTCTCAACTTTTTTCCTTTATATAAGCTATGTCTTAGTTCCACGCATTCATTGATGGTTGAAATAGTGTTGTCATACTATTGCGCGCCAATCGGTGCCATACTATTGCCAAAACACTAGGTCTGGGCCATCTGGCAGGAAAATGTTTAGATCCAAAGAAAGACAGTGTGTGTCACCCAGTGAAAACATCAAAAAACGTGTCAAAGTTGATAGTTGACCTTTCTCTACAAAATAGTGATAAACTCTTTGTGTAGAAAGAATATTATGGTTTGAGACTTTTAAATAAGTCTGTGAATATATTAGGAACTCTTTAAGTATACTTGTATTTACTGATTTCAAGTGGCAAATAAATTAATAGATGATTAAGTTAAGAGACGGTTTTAGACACATAAAAACTAATTCCGTTTCCGACACAGCTAGGAATTAGACAAACACAGCTCGTTCTGAGCTGTGTGCAAAAATTAAAATTTTCTCAATTAAAAGCTTAATAGCTCTTACTTAAAAGCCTAATTAAGTAGTGTTCAATATTCAATAGGGTTCTAATTCCAATCTCTGTCATATTCCAATACAGCTCACACAGCAATCAGAATTCGAACACAAGAGGGTTGGAATTACGAATTAGTAGAGTTTGAAGTGTGGCTGGAATTAGTCTCACAAAATGCCTAATTTAGTCACACACAGCGTCGGAATATATGGATTTGGTAGGTTTGCATTCTAAAGGCTTTTAAATAAATATGGCAACATTTTGTGACATTTCATTGTTGCTGGCGCATAGTGCGGTGTTTTGAGAGTAACGTAAAGCAAACAGAAATCGAGTTGCGCATACGGTGATTATTTTATAGCCATTCATTTTTTGCTACATCCTTAATGTGTCGGAATATACCGCGTTTACCCTAGCTCTATTAATTCTGTCCTTTTGTTTAGTATGGGCTAACCTCAAGCATTTCTTACGCTAATAAATGTCATTTGATTTTGAAATATAATCTTCCTTGATCTGCTTACAGCAAAATATTTCCCCATACATGATATTGACCTATAACTGTGCAATTTTAGAAGCTCTTGTTGTTCAATTGATGCAATGTTCATGATGCTTAATGCTGATGACATTTTTCATGTGCAGATGTGGTTCTACATGGAGACATCTTCAAAGTTCCAATAAATAACAAACAAGAAGAAGAACAGAAGCAAAGCATCACAGTCACAGAATTGCATTCAACCTCACTTTAACATTTATTTAACCCTTTTATTCATTAGGTATACTGGGAAGTTTTGACCAAATATTTTCATTATTTGTATATTTTCCATGCTGTGAGTGAAACCTAGTTCACCTTCATGATGGCTGAAGTGATGAATGAAATTGAAAAGTTAGAACACCTTTCTTTGGTGTCAAAAATCTGTGTAGAACTTGAAAATCATTTAGGAATAAATGACAAAGATGTTGGTGAGTTAAAACTTAGAATAATAATTATTTATGGTTAAGTTTTTTGTAAATTGAAATGATGTGACATATCTACCATCAATGACATCTAAGTTCCATTCTAGAATATTATGCAGAATGTGACCGTGATTGAGACAAAAATGCCTGTGCTTGCAGTAAATTTTGCCTGTTTTTATGGCTCTTACCCAATTCAAAATATTGAGCAAAATTTCTTTGAATTGTGGGTAAACATGATCGTTTCACATGTGATTTTTGAAATTGCAGATTGAAATACTAGGTACCTAGTTTCTCTTATTTTTCAGTGGAGAAATTAAACAAAAAGTTATAGCAATGGCTGAAATTGGTCTGATTCATAGGCATTTTTGTCTGATTCATGGGGTCTTCTGCTCAGTTCTCCACTTTTTGCCTTTTTTAAATTTTTTCATAGAAAATGTAAAATTTGATAATTTTTGCCTGCAATATTGTTAGCCTCTAGGAGGCAAACAAGAGATTTCTTTCTATATAAGTAGGTATATGCAAGAGCCAATCTGGAATATTGGGCTAAATTTTCTAATGGGCAATTTTTGGGCAAAAATCTGGATTGAAAGTTCTCTACCGTCAACCGGGGCTACTCGGGGCAGGCTACCGTCAACCGGGGCTACTCTGGACGGGCTACCTTCAGCCGGGGCTACTCAGGAAAGGGGGGGTAACTCGGGATAGTCCTCCAACATGGCGTAAAACTGTTTTAGTAGCAAAACTAATTGGAATATTGCAAAACTAAATATAGTGGCGTAAACATCAACATTTTTTCTATCTATGTAGTATAAAGAAAGTTCAAAAATACTACATTTTCTAGCTTTGAAAAATTCCTGAAAAAAATGGTGAAAAACAATATTTTGAAAAGTTACTCCTGCTAAGGTTTACAGTAAAAAAATATTTGCCATATTAAAAAATTTTGCTTGGAAAAAAGTGGCAGACAAGTGTCAGCATGAAAACTTTATTTGCGAAATTTGCATACCTCAATCCCAAAAAAAATGGTGGCCATTTCTGCACAGTGGGGCTACTCGGGACAACCCTCGGGGCTATTCGGGACACCCCCAAAAATGCATTTACAGTAGAACCTCAGTTAGCAAAGGCTCCAGTTAAGAAAAAATTGATTAAAAACAAAGAATAATGATTACATTTACCTCGCTCAGCAAAAAAAATTTCACTTATAAAAAAATTAGTGCATCATCGGTCATCACAAAATTGTGCATAGAATGTCATATATAGAATTGTGCACCAGGCATCATAGAATGAAAAGTAATTGACCCAAACTATGATTTATTTCTCCAAAACATATGATGGTTGTCACTAAAACATTCCTTTCTGTTTCAGGTATGTTTTTCACGATCTTTTTTATAGTAAATTCACTTAACCCAATTAAAATGGTGTGAAATTACAAGCCGTACCTGTTTTGCCACTATGGTGTCCTGTTTTGCCACTATGGTGGCCTGTTTTGCCACTATGGTGGCCTGTTTTGCCACTATGGTGTCCTGTTTTGCACTATGGTGTCGTTTCAAAAAATTTTGAGCTTCTGTGGTTCAGTGCCATGCTCCCAGCAGAATATCCTCCACACTAACTTGAGAATTATGAATGTTGAAACTTATTTAGCACTTCATTTCAATATCCCTGGACTATGCAACAATGTAAATTTTATTGAAACTATCAAGGAAAATGGAAATGCATCACTGTTAATTATGAATTAACGTTTTTTAATTGTTTATTTTACTGTTGCACATTCTTATTGATATTACCTGTAATTTTTAAAATATTGTTTAAATAACCTTTATCATTTCACTTAAATCATTGGATTTTACCCCATCACTTATTTAGAGTGCTGCTCAGATGTTTGTTTGACTTCTACTATGATCTAAATCCCATTTAAATGCACATTACTATGTTCAAACAATATAACTGAAAATAAATACTAATAATTATCATATTTGTTTCAGCTGAATTCATCATTGATCTTGCTGCCAGGAGCAAGAAACTTGAAAAGTTTAAGAAAGAGCTGGCGGAAAATGGAGGCGACCAATTTGCTGTGAGTATGAAATTGATTGCTTATATCTTCTATATAATATGCAGAAGACGAGGATACAAAATGTTGCTCTATGGAATTCTTGGCAGGAATAAGTGAACAGGATGAAACAACATTATAGTGATTGACTTATAGTGAATGACTAGAGCAGCATAGGCAAGTTATTTGTGTATGGCAGCAAACTATCATCAACTCCAGTTGATTGATTTTTATTATCCAAGTAATATCTTGCGTTCAATTTATATCTTGCATTGGAAGGTACCAGTATATTTAAATGAGCATAAATACTTGATTTACAGTCAATATTTGTTTAACACAAGAACTTTGCACTGTATGTGTCACGGTGTTTAAAGTAATAAAAAGGATCTCAAATAAGAAATATCCTTACCTTGGCTCTTATAATTTATTTTATTGTAGAATAAAAACTAATGCAGTGGTCATAATCTGATATTGTGTACGGTAATTTTAAATTGCATTAACAATAGAGTTTCAATTTGAAAGTCCTGCCTAAGAATTTGGTTGAATGTGCAGTATACTTAATATTGTTAGATTTTTAATGGAACTTAAACATGGCTTTTGTTTCATGAATCATTAAGGAGATCTCATTTAATTCCAGGATTCTTTCATGGAGAGTTTATGGCGCTTGATTGTACTCATGAAGCCGTCCGTGGTGGCTGTCATGGACGCTGCAGGAGGGGCTGTGTGTGCAGAGGCTTCAAAGGAGGAGAGGAAGCGTCAGATGCTGCCCTTCCTTGCTCTGCCCAACGATCCTAGCGTGCGCACCATGTTTGATGATGAAATGAAACAGGAAAATGTTGAAATGCAACCTAAGCAGGAGCCTTTAACAGAAACTACGCTTAAAACAAAGAAGAGTAAGTCTAAGAAAAACAACGTTGATGACTTTGGCGATGACATCATGGCTTTTCTTGAAGCTCAGGCTCCGTCAAAACAGACTCATGAATCAGAGAAAGAAGATGTAGATGAGAGTCCAGAAAGAAAAAGAGCCAAATGCAAGCGATCAAGAAGTCCAGAACGTGATAAGAGAATAAAAAGAAGTCGTAGCCACGATCGATCGACAGACAGGAAACGCAAGCACAGAGACAAGCGCAGTTCTAGCAGGGATAGAAAGAGTCGCCATACTCACAAGAGGAGCCGAAGCAGAGACAGAAAACGCAGCAGAAGTAGAGACAGGAGGAGCAAATCCAGAGACAGAGGTAGGAGAAGTCGAAGCCACAGTCGTGATAGACGCAGCCACAGTAGAGATCGTAAACGGCGAAGTAGGAGTAGGAACCGAGGCAGACGGAGCAGAAGCGTGGATAAACGAAACAACACTCGTGAAAGACGCGACAACAGTCGTGAGAGACGAGAAAACACTCGTGGAAGACGCAGCAGGAGTCGTGACCGCCCAGAACGTAACGGCGACACTCGCAATAGGACCCCTGATGGTAAACATGAAGAAGAGCATGGCGCTGCCGACGGCTCGTTGGCTGGCAAACTTCCAGATGAAAACCCTATCGTCGGCAAGGTACGTTATACACACCTTGTGTCCAGCCAAATTAGTGTTTGTTCATCTAATAATCTTGTAAATATTTAGCAAAGATTCTTCGTGAGTTTAAAGCCCGGCAACGGAAATTTGTTGGGGTTGTTCTAGCGCGTATCCACGCTACGGTACATTATCGTGTCGGGATATTACCGAGACCTGACAATTTATTTCAAGAGAATTGATATTGAGGCATTGCAGAACTGGGTGGTGAGGATTGTATAAAAGATTAAAATGAAATTTTGAAATTTACATACATTAATTTTAGGCAAAAAATAATTTTTCATCATTTGAAACGATAGTCAAATGAAAATTTTATGCTACATGGAGAATGTGAGTTTGAATGGGCTTCTTTTTAATTAACAGACATAAACTTCATTATTAACTACGGAAATCGGTATAGCAGGATTTTAAAATTACAGGGATTACCAAACCTGGGCAACCTCAGGCTAACCTGCTAATAGTTCTATGTTTGACTTCATGTATAAAAGTTTCCAAGTAAATGGATAAATATGAATTGTAAATTTCACATCTCTTCAAATTTTGGTCTCCAGTCGTCCTGAAAATATTAACTTGAAATTCCATTGAGAAATTTAATATATGTTCTTTCTTCTTCCAGTTTAAGAAAAACTTTGTGCAATACGAAGTTTCAACGTGATTCAAATTTTTTCTCTGGAATTTATTTTACATTTTCATTCATTGAACGGATTTGCTCTTTTTTGTCTAGGGCTTTCAGTGTTATTTTGGAAAATTCACATAGTTTGTCACGATTGTCTACTTAGTTTTCATTTCTAAATTAACCTTTTTCAATAATGATCTGTTGTGGCTGGTGTGTGACAGTCTTACGTTAAATTTAAAAACCGAAAAGCATTTTAAAACTTACTGTTGATGCAGGTTTACGAGGGCAAGGTGACGAACATCCTGAACTTCGGGTGCTTCGTGCAGCTGGACGGTCTGCGTAGGAGGTTAGAAGGCCTGGTGCACATCTCACATCTTCGTCAGGAGGGCAGAGTCACGAGCGTCTCAGATGTACTCTTTAGAGAACAAATTTATCAAGAGAATACCAGGTTTAATTTTGTACAAGAAATACCGGGACGATATCCTGGTCGTAAGCGAAGCAAACAAACGTGAAATCCACTCATTGCTCGAGGACTTGAATTCACTCCATGTTTCTGTTAAATTCACTATGGAGTTGAGCGACCCTAAGCTTAATTTTTAGATCTCACATTGCCGGAAGAGGAGCTCTCCTTGGAGCGCAAGGCCCGGCATATTCATATGAATAGGAGGTGACCAAGTTAGATAATTTCCTTTTAGGTTTTATCAAGATATATTTTGTATATATATTTTAATTTTATAGCTCTTTTCTGTAGTTGTATTTAATAATAATGAATAATTATTTTGTAAAAATTCTTAATAATCCTTTAAGAGCTTAATAATCCTGCTGCTCCTAAAGGATTATTAAGAATTAAAATAATAATAATTAATAATTATTATTAAATCCAACTATGTAAAGAAAAGAGCTCTAAAATTTTAAAAATATACAATAAAAAATATATCTTAATAAAACCTAAAAGGAAATTATCTAACTCGGTCACCTCCTATCCACATGAATATGCCGGGCCTTGCGCTCCAAGGAGAGCTCCTCTTCCGGCAATGTGAGATCCAAAAATTAAGCTTAGGGTCGCTCAACTCCATAGTGAATTTAACAGAAACATGGAGTGAATTCAAGTCGAGCAATGAGTAGATTTCAAGTTTGTTTGCTTCGCTTACGACCAGGATATCGTCCCGGTATTTCTTGTACAAAATTAAACCTGGTATTCTCTTGATAAATTTGTTCTCTAAAGAGTACATGAATAAGTCAGTTTATTTGGCTTACAATGAGGAAATGTTTCTGTACCGCTAGAGCGTTTTGTTCCTGGTGCCAGCAAGGAGGTGGAGCTGCCATATTTGTACGGGCAGTGAGTCGCTTCCAGCGAGTAGTTGGAGAGCGCATAACCTCTGTAACTGCTTCAAGATTTTATGTAATGCAAAGGCACAACGTTTAAACGGATGGCCCTAACATTTGAGCAACCAAAGGAAGCCTTGCAGGGATGAGTGACCAACTCAAATATGTGCAAAAACAATTTTCTTATATATTTTGTATCTTCAATCGCAAAAATCAAGGAATTGTTTTCTTGGTTTTTAAAATTGCTCACACATACAGAGAAAGTTTGGGATGAACGGCTACTTGTTTCTTGGGCTGTGCCTCGTTTTGCACTCATCAAGTCACGAAATTTGAGAGAAATATACTACAAGATATTGAACTTCTTTTAAAAGCCCTCGCATCTAATACACAAGGCAGAAAATTTATTAGTCTACTTCAGCCTTGCTATGCTCATAATGGGCCTTTACTATTGCTGCAGTATCATTATTTTTCTTATTTGCTTTACAGTTAGGGCATTGCAGCAGATAGAATAATTTTCTCACACTCCTTTTACAGGTTCACGGACTTAGCAATGTAGTATTTATTCATCATAAACATCCAGCAATGAAATCTTTACTCACTTGATTAGTAGTCATTCTCATGTCAAGACGGAGCAATTTACACAATGAAGTCTTTACTGAATTGCATTAGTTATTGCAGTAGTTATGCTCATCTCCATAGGACACAATTCTCACAGTTGATGATGGTGCAGGTGAAGGTGCTGTCGTTCACTGGCCAGAAGACGTCACTGTCCANCGTGACATGAACCCTGCCGTGGGGAGTGGCTTGTTGGCCGACGACGAGGTCGCCATGAGGAACCCTGACCGTCCTGTTAGCCTCATCGAGCTCACCAAAGGTCAGTTGCGAGGGCTTTACTTGTAATATATGCTACCTATAGAAAGAGTGGTCACGATCATAGAGCTCACCAAGGGTCAGTTACGAGGGCTTTACCAGTTATATATGATACATATTGAAAGAGTGGTCACGATCATAGTCCTTACCAAGGATCAGTTGAGAGGGCTTTACCAGTAATATATGATACATATAGAAAGAGTGGTCACGATCATAGATCTCACCTAAGTCGGTTGCTTGGGCTCTACTAGTTATATAAGCCACCCTGTGCTAGAAGTGGTCACGATCATAGAGATAAACAATATTCACTTGCCATAACTTTACTAGCCACATTTGATTATAATCAGCTGCATACAGTCTCTCTAAGAACATTAACGGATGCCTTTTGACTCGATACCACATTATAACACCATATTATTTACATCATTATTCGTGCAAGTCTTGTCGTGATTACTCCTCATTCCAGTCATGATTTTACCTGATTTTTTCCTTTGCATTATTCCTGCAATTTTCGTCTTGATTCCCCCGAACATTCCTGTCACCATATCTCCCTATTGCCGCCATAACTCCATANTCTTATTGCCTGATCAAATATATTATTTCTAATCAACCCAATGGAACAAAAGCGAACTGCCAGACTTTGATGAAGAGGTGCATACCTTCATGCAGACTTGTTGATTATGACTGTCTTATTTCTAATCAACCATATTATTATATCAAACATATTATTTCTAATCAACCATATTATTATATCAAACATATTATTTGTAATCAACCCGATAGAACAAGAGCGAACTGCCCGACTTTGATGAAGAGGTGCGTACCTTCACGCAGACTTGTTTAGTTATTGTTTTCATGATTCACAAGGTGTTCAAGTGTATCAAGCTATTTTTTAAGCCGCTTGAGAATAATGTTACATTGTTACTAATAAAATCAAATTCCAACTTAAGACACCTGTCAAAAAGAGGTACCGTACAAAAAAGAGAGGTTTCACATCAGTTATGAGCTCAAATTAGTTTAAATATTTGGTGATATTTTGGTCATTATGTGCACAACTAAATTGCTAGAGGAAGAATTTATTCGATCAAATTTTAAGTTTATTGATTTAGAAATGGGAAAATAATGGCTCGAAATCAACTGTCATTTCCTGTAAATAAGATGATTGGCGTTATATATGACAGCACAGGGATTGCGACTTCAAAATATAATGTTTGGATATTTCAGCTCTATAAAACGTGTGTGTGTGTGATAGTATATTGAGTTATCTTCCATAGTTTGATAGTTACGAAACAAATTGAAACATTAGTTGTTGTCGAATCCATGGATTGTTTTAGTGACAATAAATTCATCTGTTTTCACATTCTTCTGTTTTCATCTGATTTTTCACTGAATAAAAACTTTAAAAGCTACAAAATTAAAAGGGGAGTAAAATGGTGCAATATTAGATAGAAAATAACGAGGATTTCGATGACGTGTTGCTTTTGGTGCAGACGGGCGTGCTGGGCAACGAGGACGATGGAGAGGAGGAAGTGGAAGTGGAGCTGGTGGAGGAGGAACCTGCCTTCCTACGCGGCTACGGCAGAGTCAGGGACGAGCTCTCCCCCGTCAGGATCATGAAGAACCCTGATGGATCTCTGGCTCAGGTACGGTGGAGGGTCCTGATGGATCTCTGGCTCAGGTACGGTGGAGGGTCCTGATGGATCTCTGGCTCAGGTACGGTGGAGGGTCCTGATGGATCTCTGGCTCAGGTACGGTGGAAGATCATGGAGGGTCCTGATGGATCTCTGGCTCAGGTACGGTGGAAGATCATGGAGGGTCCTGATGGCTCTCTGGCTCAGGTACGGTGGAAGATCATGGAGGGTCCTGATGGATCTCTGGCTCAGGTACGGTGGAAGATCATGGAGGGTCCTGATGGCTCTCTGGCTCAGGTACGGTGGAAGATCATGGAGGGTCCTGATGGATCTCTGGCTCAGGTACGGTGGAGGATCATTAGGGATCCTGATGGATCGCTGGTTGCAGTGTCAGTATAGTAATGCAACACTTCATCGATTGCAGTGTTGTAATTGCGTTTCGGTCTCATAATACGATCAATCAATTTTTTTCACCATCCTTTCAAGTTTATCATTAAATTTCCTTTGAGATCACTTGAATTCCAAGGAATGTTTCTCTCTAAATCGCCTACAATATCACTCATATCTCTAGTGAACATTCAGTAATTGTCCTAATCGCTGGTGTTAGGCGGCGATGATGCAGAGCGCGCTGTCCAAGGAGCGCCGTGAAGTCAAGATGGCGATACGCGACGCAGAAGTCGAGGCGCAGCCCGCGACCTTCGGGCAGAACTGGAACGACCCGCTGCCTGAGCAGACCGGGGCGACCGACGCCGCTGCCATGGCCGGGCGCGCCAGCCAGCAGCAGGCCGAGATGCCCGAGTGGAAAAGACACATCACAGGTGAGGCGGTTTTTCCCCATTACCATCATATTACCGTGACCCAGGCAATGTGCACGGCGCACTTCTAGTCGGTTCACCTCGTGCGTTTTAAGTGCATTTAGGAAAAATTGGAACTCATTCGACGCATGAATACTTAACCCTTTGTTATTTATGAACTTGTCACATAGCAGGCCGCTATGCTTGGGCACAACAAACTCAGCGCATGGGTAGTGTAGTATCAGTCATACAGTTCGAAGATTTTAAATCTCAGTTTCTAAAATTTTTTCATGATTGTTATTTTCAAAAGACAATCTGTACCGTACTTAATTATACTATTACTTTTAAATTTTTTATTTGAGAATATATTGTCGATACCTGTCACTTGGACCTAACACCACTAATTGCGCAGGTGGTACGCGTGGCTCGTATGGACGTAAGACAAACATGTCCATTCTGGAGCAACGTCAAAGTCTGCCTATTTACAAGCTCAAAGACGAGCTCATCCAAGCCATCTACAACAACCAAATCCTGATTGTGGTTGGCGAGACGGGCTCAGGCAAGACCACTCAGATGACGCAGTACCTGGCGGAGGCTGGCTTCACAGCCAAGGGCAAAATTGGGTGCACGCAACCTCGTCGAGTGGCTGCCATGTCCGTTGCTAAACGCGTGTCTGAAGAGTTCGGGTGTCGCTTGGGACAAGAAGTTGGCTACACAATGCGTTTTGAGGACTGCACGAGTCCTGAAACTATCATCAAGTACATGACGGAGGGTATGTTGCTCAGGGAATGCCTTATAGACCCCGACATGACAGCATATGCTTGCATTATGCTCGACGAAGCTCACGAGCGAACCATCAACACCGATGTTCTTTTTGGACTCCTCAAGCAGGCCGTTAAGAAGCGTCCTGAATTGAAGCTCATTGTCACTTCTGCCACACTTGACGCCGTTAAGTTTTCTGAATATTTCAACCAATCTCCAATCTTCACAATCCCCGGGCGTACGTACCCCGTGGAAATTCTTTACACCCGAGAACCAGAAACAGACTACCTGGATGCGTCGCTCATCACCGTCATGCAGATACACTTGTCTGAGCCTCCTGGAGATATTCTAGTTTTCCTGACAGGTAAGTAATGGGTAGTAAGACTTATGTTGAACTCGTGTGTTGGCACCGCCAGAGATGTTTACTATTCATGTGCGAGTTGGCTGAGGTGATTGGAGATCACATGAAGAGCGCTAAAGGACCTCTTGCATAGTATACATCCACCATCAGAATTCTTGATTTCCAGTATTCAAAAAATATATTTCAGCAAATATTTCCCGAATAGAATTGGTGTGCTCTGAAAAATAGAAAATTTTTCATTGCATACTAGGCAGACCGGTGACACTTCAATGTGTCAAGGTGAAGGCCTTCATCCCATTTTCATTTCATAATAGGCTGACAGGTGACACTGCAATGTTCCAAGTTGAAGGCCTACATCCCATTTTTTTCATTTCATACTAGGCTGACCGGTAACCCTGCAATGTTTCAAGTTGTAGGCCTTAATCTCATTTATTTCATACTAGTCTGACCGGTGACACTGCAATGTTTCAAATTGTAGGCCTCCATCTCATTTATATTTTTGATGTGTGCAGGTCAAGAGGAGATCGACACAGCGTGCGAGATTTTGTTAAATGTTTCATTTCGTACTAGTCTGACGGGTGACACTGCAATGTTCCAAGTTGAAGGCCTTCATCTCATTTATATTTTTGATGTGTGCAGGTCAAGAAGAGATCGACACAGCGTGCGAGATTTTGTACGAGCGCATGAAGGCGCTGGGCAGCGATGTACCAGAGCTGCTTATCTTGCCCGTATATTCGGCGCTGCCGTCAGAGATGCAGACGAGGATATTCGAGGCAGCTCCTCCAGGCTCCAGGAAGGTCGTCATTGCTACCAACATCGCCGAGACCTCCCTCACTATTGACGGCATTTACTATGTCGTTGATCCTGGTGAGCGATTTGCTCTCTTTCTGAAGTATTTCCTAAGTAGAGCTTTCAGGAAGATTTTCTTGGTTATTGTTTTGCTTTCTGTCAATTATGTTTCCATAGGTTCCGTGAAGAAGTTCTCAGATTGCATTCTGTCTCAATGCAATACTGTTTATTTTCACCTTCTTTTCTATTCTGCGAATACTTTTTGATTCATGTCTGACATTAAACTTCTCATATTTAGTACAAGCGTGAAAAAAATCGTTCATAAACGCCTTCAAAATAAATTAATTGTTAGCTTCTAAATAAATTTGATTTTGTTTTCCCTGGAATATAATTTATATGCTAAAGAATGACTTTAGGACAGAGGACGAGAACTTTGTGAGTATACATTGAATTTTTCTCTCAATTTCAGGGTTCGTGAAACAAAAAGTGTACAACCCGAAGACTGGCATGGACTCTCTGATGGTGACACCCGTGTCGCAAGCAGGCGCCAAGCAGCGCGCTGGTAGAGCAGGCAGAACAGGGCCTGGCAAGACCTACAGACTGTACACTGAACGCGCCTACAGGTAATATTTACCTACAGACTGTATACTGAACGCGCCTACAGGTGATCTTTACCTACAGACTGTACACTGAGCGTGCCTACAGGTGATCTTTACCTACAGACTGTACACTGAACGCGCCTACATGTGATCTTTACCTATAGACTGTACACTGAACGCGCCTACAGGTGATCTTTACCTACAGACTGTACACTGAACGCGCCTACATGTGATCTTTACCTATAGACTGTACACTGAACGCGCCTACAGGTGACCACGCGCCTACAGGTGATATTTACCTACAGACTGTACACTGAACGCGCCTACAGGTGATCTTTACCTACAGACGGTACACTGAACGCGCCTACAGGTAATATTTACCTACAGACTGTACACTGAACGCGCCTGACAGTTATTATCATATTGTGCTTGTAGATCGTCTACACTACACGGACGCTGAAACGTCACCCAATGATAAAGTTGTAGTTTAGTTTAATTGTAGCGTTTAATTCTTACGACTGTTTCACTTTCAGATATATAAAATTCCAAAGTGTGCTGTTGATGGAAGCTGGTAGGGATTGACTGTCATAAAATTTTGCATAAGTTATGAAATTCTTACACCGCTAAATACTCTCTACTTCTATTATAACTACTTCTGCCTCAACGAAATTCAAAAGCTCAATTTTTAGTGCTGCTCTTCACATCTTCTACTGCCTCTAATTCTCCTAAAAGAACGGCCTCTTTCGTTATACTTTCCTGTTGAAAACTAAAGCAAGAAATAGGACTCAATTGCACTTATCGTATGCAGGGACGAGATGCTGCCAACGAACGTGCCGGAGGTGCAGAGGACGAACTTGGTGTCTACGGTGCTGCAGCTCAAGGCCATGGGCATCAACGACCTCCTGGGTTTTGACTTCATGGATCCTCCTCCCACCGAAGCCATGGTAATGGCTCTCGAAACTCTTCATTCTCTGAGGTGAAATTTACTACCTTGTCGGATATTTACTTGGGACGATTGAAATTGTCTGGCATAAAATTTTTCTTATTTCTAGTTTTTGTTGGCCTATTTTCTTTCTCCTACTTGCTCGTTTTCACTATTTGTTTGTTACGATAAACCATTTACTTTTCAGTTCCCATAGTTTGTCCCAAACATGAATTGTTTGCGAACTGCCGATTTCTAAATAATATTAATTGCAATCATACTTGTGTAGATATTCTGTACCATGTCTTTAGTACAACAATTGATTTGTGTTTCCAGTGCCTTGGACGATGAAGGTCTACTGACGCGCTTAGGCAGAAGAATGGCGGAGTTCCCGCTAGAACCCAACCTCTCGAAAATGTTGATTATGTCGGTGAACCTGCAATGCTCTGAAGAGATCCTCACAATTGTCTCCATGCTGTCCATACAAAACGTCTTTTACAGGTGAGCTTCTTGGTCAAATAAAGTTGTGAGTGGCATTCATTGTCCGCATAATTTGAGGCTTTAAAGCAATACGTTGTTATCAGAGTAGCATTGTTCTCGCATACATTTCGTCCTGCCATTTTCTCTATGCCGTTCATACAGGACTCGTTCTGTATGATGAGTGAATAAGATTGAATTGTGTATTTTATCCTTAGGTATGAATTGGTCTTCTTATATTTCAATATCGCTCTTTTCGTTTATTTTGGGCGCCTACCTCGCTTGCGGCGAAGCTTGTTGAACATGAAATGATGAAAACCTTATTTTTTTGACTGGAACGCAATTCTTGTACAATTTCGTAATGATATAGTTTATGGCGTGATTGTGACGTAGTCTCTGTTAAGGTTGGTTCTTGTATCTTTGTGCACAAATGGATGACATTTGCTTCAAATTTACTCATCATCATTCATTATTACTGTAAGAATGCTCAAATGCCCTTTCAGAATAGAAATTTATTTGTTGCACAATTTCCATACACCTCCGCTTTTCTACGTTTGTTGGTTTCAGACCTAAGGAAAAGCAGGCAATAGCTGACCAAAAGAAAGCCAAATTCAACCAAGCTGAGGGCGATCACCTGACGCTACTGGCCGTCTACAACTCGTGGAAGAACAACAAATTTTCGTCTGCCTGGTGCTATGAGAACTTCGTCCAAATGCGCACCTTGAAAAGGGCGCAAGATGTTAGAAAGCAGCTTGTTGGCATCATGGACCGGTGAGTGTTGCCTACTCTTGTGCTTTTATTACGATACTGAAATGTAAATTTAAACGTGTTAGTCAAGAGAGAGTGAATGTTTTTTAATGCCTTTAGTTGCCTTGTATATTAATGTTTCAAAAATAAATTTGTCCAGCTGCGTGATAAAAATCAAAGTCCAGATGTTGTCCAGAAAACCATTTGCTTGAATTTACTACCCGCATGTCATGTATCAAAACCTTCAAGACGTACATTTTTTTCCAGGCACAAACTGGACATGGTTTCTTGCAATAAAAATGTAGCCAGAGCCCAGAAAGCGATATGTTCAGGGTTCTTCAGAAATGCTGCCAAAAAAGATCCCCAAGAAGGATACAGAACTCTTGTGGACTCCCAAGTTGTGTACATTCATCCGTCGTCTTCGCTCTTCAACCGACAACCTGAGTGGTGAGTGAGAAATCTTTTCGCTTTCTTGTCAACTACCTGAGTAGTGAGTAGGAATTTTTTGCACTCTTGAAATTAAAACCTGGGTAGTAAGCAGGTACCTATATTTTTTTTATTGTAGCCTTGTGTATTGAATGAATTTGTAGGAATGATTGATACTTTTTGCGGCTTGTCGTGGGTAAAGTTTTTTCTTTAATTTTCGCCCCTAAAGTTTTATGGGACGAGACTTGCTTAATAAAAATGATTGATTGATATCCAGAGCATGGGAATACCATCAAGCCTAATCTAATGCTCGAGTGTTGATTACTTTGCAAATTAATTGACTTCCTGTATTGAATATTCACTGCATGTACAACTAATGGCACAGGGTGATCTACCACGAGCTGGTGCAGACCACCAAGGAGTACATGAGGGAGGTCACCACCATAGACCCCAAGTGGCTCGTCGAGTTCGCTCCGTCCTTCTTCAAGCTCGGCGACCCAACCAAACTGTCCAAGCACAAGAAAAACCAGCGCCTGGAGCCGCTCTACAACAAATATGAGGAACCGAACTCTTGGAGAATATCGCGTGTCCGTCGCCGTAGAAATTAATTGTAACCTCGCAAGCCTTGGAATATATGTGATGGATCTGAAAAATTGCGAGAACGTGCGTGGATCGAAGATGTTCATGAAGGTTCATTAGAATTTGCTATGTATGTATCAAATTCAGCACTCGGTTTTCGTGCTTGCTGTTGTATAAATGCACTAATTTATTTATATTTCGTCGATCTTAAATTTCATTTGTATGTATTGTAAATAATTCTTGACTTAGTGAAATAATTTTCTTTGTAATCTAGTACTACTCATTTCAAGGTCGCTGTAAAGTAAAAATTCTTGTAAGCTTGTCCATGAATCATCAACATTACCCCAGCCATTTTCCGTATCTTCTGCAAACATTACTTTCGGTGACCTGCTATTCAGTGTCCTGCGCTGGTATAAATTTATCGGTCCATTTATGGGCTGACTTACATTTAGGTAGCGCAAAGACGTGTAGTGCACACTTTTTCTACAGCAGTGATAACTCACTCATCAGATCATTACTTCTGAATAGCTATGCTACAATCTAATATTAATGCATTCAAGCTAAATAATATTTTTGCTGTTGAAGATGACTGATAAAAATATACGAAAGTAATTACTGATGGCCACAATGACAACGGAGGGAAGATTCGGATGATATGATTTTGGGTACCCAACAGGAAAAGAGATAGAATCCCGACGATGTATGTATTTCTATGTGTGAAGAATCACCCCGCTAGAAAACTAAACTGAAGGCTATGTTGTTGTTTGCTGTGTCAAAGACAGGCAGGAAGGCTACCCCTTCCACGGGACTCCCACAATGAAGAGACACTGAGGTTCGTGGGGAGGAGGCACAGGCAAAAAAGGCTGGACAGACATTAGATGATCCCCGCACTCGAAACAGGCGGCCCTGAGTTTGCGTCCGACCCCATAAGTATAGGGTGCCTGAGAACTGCTATAGTCCCAACGGAGCTGAGACAGCGCCGACAGGTAAGGATGAAGGCAATCGGGGGGGGGGGGGAGCTGCTAAAACGGCGTTGTTCTCGACCGACGCCACGTGAGAGGAGATCTCGCTGTGTAGGTATCGCTTCGCCGCCCAATAACAGCCGGCAGCATTATGCCGTTTGTCAGGAACGGCGCCACGAGGTGACCAAATCTCAACATGAGTGAAGTCTGCATAGGTCGGTCCCCGGGGGAGCCGAGAAAATGTGAAAGGAGGAATGAGAGTGTTGAAGGGCGCTAGCAAGTAATTGAGTGCATGGCAAATCTAGGTGAGCGGGCAACGGTAGGACGCCGGTCTTATTGCGGAGATGGGCGATTGGAGCCATTTTGAAGCAGCCGGTAGCTAATCTCAGGGCCGTGTTCTGTATAGTTAGACCTACTACTGCGGTGCGCGAGGCGATGATGCACCAGATAGGGACTGTGTAGTTGAGGATTGGGCGAATGATTGTCCGGTAGGTGGCAACAATGTCCCGTTTCGACAAGCCTCAGTTGGCACCAGCCAGGGCTTGTAGAATTCTCAGGGTTCCCATTGCCTTTGTGGCACCTGCTTGACGTGGGAGAGAACATAAAATGGGTGCCCCAGATGACTCCCAGAATTTTAGTTTTTTTCCTTAGTGGGATGACACCGTTACGAGTTGTGGCGGAAGGGTATATACGTGATTGATAGGTATCCAGAGTGAAGAGAGTAACAAAAGATTTGGTCAGGTGCCTTAGTCGATTTCTTAGAGGCGGACCAATCGGAGGTGCCCTTAAGGAGCCCAGCGAGGTCCGACTCAGTAGCATCAAGCCGAAGGGAAGACACAAAGATCGCAAGGTCATCCTCTTACACCATGTTGGAAACCGAAACCTGCGTGTCTGAGATGAAGTGATTTAAGAAGGCAGGAGAGGTAACCGATCCTGGGAGGACTCCTGTGTGAATTGTTCTGAAGGGAGATTGCGTTCTGAGGTACAGGCAGGATGTCAGCCTGCCTCTGAGGTAACAGAATAGCCAACGGACCGAATTGCGGTGCAGATCCGAGGTCGTAATCATAATGAGGGGGAAGAGTGTGTTCGACGCTATCGAATGCTTTCGAGTGGTCGATCGCTGGAGGTGCTGTGCGGGCTGGGGAACGCCCGGAATTGAAGCCTGTTTGTTGCAATCTGATGCGGGAACGGACGGAGGGAAGACTGAAGACTATGAATAAGCTTTTGACAGACAGGCTCAACAACAGCAGTGCTAGAAGATGTCAACCAGCAAGTTCTAGCATATACCCACAGACCCATTTCATCAACTTGACTTCAAAATTACTAAAGATTTGCAGGCAATCATGTCGCTTCAGTCATGTAGCATCCTTCTGAATACACAGAAACTAATGATGACTGGCCAAAATACTTCACCAATACACTCATTAATTGCATGTAATTGATTTGCAAGTGAAAAACATACCACTTAGTTTTAGCAGCATTGACAAAGAAGTCCCTTTCAAGCATCCAGTGATGGAGCTGACTGACTCGAGACGGAATTTTGTCCACAGTATGACGCAATAGAGCATCACTACAGTGTACTACAAGTCATTTGCTTACTCGGATTGATATAAACATCTTAATTGCCATAATTGGGTTAGTCAAGACATCATGACCTTGAATGCTGTAGTGTGGGAGAGAAGGCTGGTCCATGCTAAATTCCAAACAAAATAGAGAGCACCTCCAGAGAAGACCTTGAAAGTTCGCAAGCCATGTCAGCTGGGAAAATCAATAAACGCCATTTATACAACTCCAGCGCTTCGAGCAATCACCAGTTATCTAGAAATACTATGAAGAGAAACAACAGTAGGAAAGATAAATGAACACCACTGAAACAACTGTAACCCTCCGAGCTATCACCAGATATTCAGAAATTAAATAAATACAGATGAATTAAAATGATAGGGAAGGATTTTCAGACAGCTTGAAATAATTGTTGCACGACTTGCAGGACTAATAACAGTTTTATGAAGCTGGAGCCTGGAACAGAAATTCAGTACAGTCACAACCATTGTCATGTCCAGGCGTGTTATGTGGATTATATGAGGCCTGTATGAGGTCAACTACAACAAAAAGTCCAATGGTTCGGGTTTCGGGAGGTATTCGTGGAAAAGCCCGTTTAAAAGGCATAGTTTTATTTTGTCGTGAAGAACGAATAGTCGTGAAATTCAAGTCTGGTTTTTATGCCTAATGGAAATTAAAAGGCAAATTTAAGCAATTTTCCACGGTGAAAATTTAGGAGAGCATGTAATTCGGAGTAAAAAATTCAAAGTTCATTTGATCCTGTATAAAAAATAGACGAATTGGCAGAGTTGTCTGTTATTTCAAAACGTTTATAGAAAATATTAGTGTCAAATTAATTGGTACGCGGATGTTGCTATGAAGTGTGTGGTTTGTGTGGTATGTTTGTTATTTAATGTTTGAAGTATGACTTCAGCCGTTATTGGTATAGACGATGAAGTATTAAGCGATGTATTATCCAATCGGCCTCCCGAAGAAATTGAAAGTCCCATCTGGTGATGGGATCATTCAGAGCATTGTTTGCAATAGAGACAGAAATCTCTTCTGTGTTTTGAGTGAAAAAGCAATTTGGATTTGGTATAACCGGGTATGTATTATCATCTTGTGCAATTTTTTACAATAATATTATGCTAGCTAAAACTGGAAAAAATGAGTTTTTGAATTTCAGGCCATAGTTTGTGGATTAACTTGATTTCAAGCAGTTTTATCAGCCATAGTAGGGTAAACGCGGTATATTCCGACATCGTAGGTAATTTCGTCACCTCTCCAGCTTTTCCTTTATATTAAGCTTTGTTTTAGTTCCATGCGTTCATTGATGGTTGAAATGGTGACGTCATACATTTGCGTGTCTAAATACTGCAAAAACACTAGGTCTTGGCCATCTAGACTGTGAATATATTAGGAATCCTTTAAGTATACTTGTATTCGCTGATTTCAAGTCGTAAATAAATTAATAGATGATTAAGTTGAGATGTTGGATTTAGACACATGAAAACTAATTCCGACACAACTTGAATTGGACACACACAGATCGTTCAAAGCTTTGTACAAAAATTGGAATTTGCTTAATTACAAGCCTAATAGCTGTTAATTAAAACGTAATTAAGTAGTGTTTAATATTCGTTAGTGTTCTAATTTAAAGCCGTGTTGTATCCCAATACAGCTCACACAGCAAACGGAATTCGAACACGTGGATGTTGGCAATACGTATCAGTTAAATTTGAAGCGCTGACGCAATACGACTCACCACGTGTCAAATATTGCCACACAAAGTGACGGAATATAGGGATTTGGTAGCTTTCCATTCTAAAGGCTTTTTAATAAATATGGCAACATTTTGTGATGTTTCATCGTTGCTGACGCATAGTGAAGTGTTTTGAGAGTCATGTGAAGGCAACAGAACTTACGTAACGCATACAGTTTTTTTTTATAGTTTTTCATTTCTTGATGCGTCCTTAATGTGTCGGAATATACCGCGTTTATCCTATTGTGGCAAAACAGTGAGTTTTTTAGACTCTTCCCCAAGTTCAATTTTGAGTCCTATAAGTAGACCAGCAAAGTGGATTGTTAAATGGATATCCACCTTTCCTTATCATACATGAATAACATGATAAGTAAGATATTGATTTTAATTTTAAGTATAAATCAGGAAATTTAAAATTAACTGATTCTAAAAAATTAGTTAATTTTACACACAAAGATGGCAATGTGCTCATATCAATAAAGCTATCATGAACCCTATGTCCTAGCAACCGTTGCTTAGTTCTAGAATTATTATTGTTCTTGTTATTTACTGCATGTGCCACTTGCGGAAGTTGGGGTATTTCAGATTTTTAACTATTTTCTAAATAGTTGGCCAAAGACTGGCAATGGCAAATAGGCCTATCTACTAGAATGCAATAATTTCAATCCAAATGTGTCTGCAAGATTTTCTGAAGGCATAAATTTTGCTGCTGATGCGTTGCCAAAGATCTTGCAATATTCACCCACTTTCTGCACAGTGGCTTGAACTCAGTTTACAAATAAATGTATAAAAAAATTTAGTTTTCATGCACCTCTGGCTCAAACCCAGGATGCAGAGAGTAACTCAAGATCTGAAGATCTTTGGAAACACTCAGAGTCAGACACATGAGTGGCAAACTTCATATCTTCCAATTATCTTGCCTACACATTTTCAAATATTCTTGAATCTTTGGCAAAAACTTCTGTACAAGCAGAACAAAAGAAGTCCAATGTGTGGTACTATAAAAATTCTTCAGCAATCTTATTTCATTTCTTTTGTCACTTTTAAGTTTTACTAAAACATTATATCACATAATTATACAAGTTCACTCCACTTTCCTTTGTTGCCTCACAATCAAGTATCTCAGATTCCTTGTTGCATTGTTAATTTTATATTGCATCCTGGTGAGCATCACTTATGGATGGCTCTGTGTTATGCCTTCTCTTCTTTGCACTTCCTTATGGTTTCTTTCAGTCCCCATATTCACTCAATTTTTGTGAAAATCATTCCATCTATGGAAGGCAATGATATATATATATAAATATGGATAATCTTTGAGCTTGCGTAGTTAAAACATATACTGTTAGTGCCTGAATCTATAAAAATTTTTTAATAAAAGCATATCTTTTATTCAGGAAATTAAACTAAATTTTTTTTGGGTCTACAGGCACTTTCACAAGCTGAAAGTTGGTGATGCATCTGGCACTTAACTAAGTACAGCATTTTACTTATTTCTAAAAGTTATAGATAAAAGCAATATTCTTGAGAATTCTTTATTGCTGAGGATGCACCACATGCATGGCTCATCTTGGCAAATACCCACTCTAACATTTCAGAATCAATTTATACATGACTATTCAATTGATACTGTAGCAGTTCCTCCATGTACTTTTTCTATGTTTGAGAAAAATAGTCGTTCATTAATCTCAAGGTAAAGAGTGAAGGATGAATTCATATAAAGATTTGAAATGGTCTGTGTGTGTACTGCATAAAATGAATAATTTCAATCAAATTTCTAACATACTTCTTATAAAATGCAGGCTATGTGTTTGTATTCATTTGTCCATCTCAATTGGATAGCGCAGCTCTTACATTGGTTATTATGTCCTAATATCAGCCTTTTGTCAGACTAAAATAAGCTCTACAGAGATAAAAGTAATTGCACAATGGCTGTGGTGTAGATTGATACTTAATACTTTCTTGATTTAGGTGGCAATGCCCAATTTTTATCACCGTTGCATAGAAATTACTTTGTTCCTTATGATTGTTTTAAAGTCCACCCTAAAAGCATAATTGTGTTGTGCAGCCATGCCTTCCACTTTGTGGAGTGCGGCGCTCCAGCCAGTGCCTGGAGCAGTTTGGCACCAACATCATGATGGAGTGGCGGCCAGACTCTTCCTCCCTTGTCATTGCTGTGGGTTGTTGTGTTTAAAAATACTCCATTGCGCATTTTGGAGTTAGTTCTGGTTTAGGTTCTTTTAATTCAGTAAGTAAGTCATAAGTACCTACAGAAGACTTTATACAATACATTCAAATTTCATAATTCATTGCATTCTATTATGTCAAAATAGTGAGCAAAAAAAGTTTTTTAAAGCTAAACAATAAGTTTTGCAGATTGATTTTTGTTTTGTAAGTGTAATGCTGTTTAGACAAATTTTTAAAGGTTCGATTTTTCCCTTATTAAACTGCTTCCATGGTTTGTCATTATCATATATGTATAATCAATGACTTAACCTTGTTTTTTATCTTTATTAAATGTAATAAGATATGCAGTTAGCATTTGGTTAGCCAAGTCATTCTTTGCAAATGAATGATTTAGCACATATTTAATTGTGATTATTTGCAGACAAGTGGCAGCAAGTTGCTCTTCTACCGCATTCATGTGGATGAGAAGATGCGAGAAGTTTACATCCAGAATGATTCTCCTAACCCAGGATTAAGAAGATATTCTGCTGAGCTATACACCAAAGAAAAAATCCCCCCACTATTTATTAAGCAGGTCTGTTGTGTTCATATTAACATCAAACTGCATATTGACTTACTGTTCTGTGTGAAGCCATTCTGCAGAAGCTACTTTTTTTCTAGTTAAGTTTATAATAATTCCCGATTTTTTACAAGTTCACATCATAATGATCATTTCACCCAAGAAATTTATATCTCTTTACAATACATTTGTGCCTTTGGCAGGTGAAATGTGTAGATGTGAGAGGTGGAATCAGCTGTCTAGTGTGCTTGAGAGACGAGCTCATGGTGGGGTGTGGTGGAGGCCACATTCAGAGGCTGCGCTGGGACGGCTCGCTGCACTACGACTACTGTATTGACCTGGCGAGGGTGCCCTTCTGTGACGACCAACTTGTCATGCAAGGTTTGCTCAAGCTCACGAAGCAAAGTTCTGTCCTAGAGCTATTATGTTAAAGTGCAGTTTGAAAGATAAAATAAACGTGCTTTATGTGACAGTGGTTTTCATGCCAGAAATTTGATAAAAAAAATTTATAGATTTTTATTTAGTAAAAATATGCTCTGGCAATGATCTTTTATTAATCATAATTGTGTGTAATTGCTACCTAGTTTAAATAGAGGTTGTAATTGTAGCAAAAATAAATGTTAAAACTACATCATCACAAATTTTTTGTGTTTGTGGAAGCACTTTGCTGTTGAAAACATATTGGGTGCTGATAATATAATATTCGTTGTCAGCGCTTCCGCTGACCACGCCAGGAGTGTTCGTGGTGTGCCTCGAGTACTCGCCTCTCGTGGGAGGCTTCGCTACCGTGCTCAGTGATGGCAGAGCTGCCTTCCTCACAGCCTCTACGCTGCAGTTCGACCCCAATGTTGGTGTACCTTCAAACATATTTTTATTTACATTTTAACATCTTTGCTGTCTACGTTATGCATTCAAGTGTTTCTTTCTTCGAGGTTTAAGTTGACATATTTTGATCTACATTTTAACATCTTTGCTGTCTACATTATGCATTCCAGTATTTCTTTGGTCGAGGTTCAAGTTGATATTTGTAATGATTTCATGGTTCATTTCTCTTTTAAGATATCTCGAAATTCAAATTCTAATTTTATATCATAAGATGCATATCCAATGTTGGTGTAGCTTTAAACATATTTTTATCTACATTCTTACATGTATATTGCTGTCTACATCATGCATTCATGTATTTCTTTGTTCGAGGTTTAAGTTGATATATGTAGTGATTTCATAGTTCATATCTCTTTTAAGTTGTCTCGAAATCCACATTCTATTTAAAATCCTAAAATGCACATGCATTATCATAATTTTAATTCGTCTGTAGGTACCATACTTTGAACAGCACCATGCTCTTATTTCCTTATGTTGTTTCAATGCACCCCCAAGTTTGAGTGCCGTCTCAGAATGTCTTATGTGCAGGCAGTTCAAGGCATCTGGGCTCGGGAGCTCGATGATGCGACCTGTGCGGCTATCAATCACAAGTACAGGCTGCTGGCCTACGGCAGAGCTAAGTAAGCTATTAGTTATTTGCGTGGAACTTTGAGATTATTTTGCATCCATTATATGATATTTCAACGTATTGAGTGCTTGCTGGGATATTCTCTATTATTTTTCAGCCATTATATGATATTTCAACGTATGGAGTGCTTGCTGGGATATTTTCTATTATTTTTCAGCCATTATATGATATTTCAACGTATTGAGTGCTTGCTGGGATATTTTCTTTTATTTTTCATCCATTATATGATATTTCAACGTATTGAGTGCTTGCTGGGATATTTTCTTTTATTTTTCATCCATTATATGATATTTCAACGTATTGAGTGCTTCCTGGGATATTTTCTATTATTTTTCATACATTATATGATATTTCAACGAATTGAGTGCTTGCTGGGATATTCTTGGCTAGTGTTGTAACGTACCTATTCTAGCCAAGTCATTGTAATGCGCCGAACAAGCTCGAATCACTACGATGGAGCTCACTACGGTCATTGAAGTGAACAAATTCCTCGTCTTTGTTTACTGTTGGGACCACCATTGTCAACTTGTTCTAGACTCAACAATCGCTTGTTATTGATGTTATATCTCTTTAGAAACTAAGCTAGTGTGTTTATATGCAACGTATCCTATCAATTTTGGGACTACTTCATACAGTTATAACAATTATTGAATTTTTAAATTGTTTCTGTTGAAAAATACTATTCCACATTTGTTACCTTATTAATAAAATTTTTTTTAAACCTGATGTATAAGAATTAAAGTAGAAGAATATATGTATCAATTTCACTGTAATGATTTGCTTCCATAGCTTTGAGGACATCATTTGCGTGTCTTTCCAAATGTTCTTTGTTGCGGTATTAAATGTGTTTTAACTTTTGTTGGAAGGCATAATCCTAAGATTATTATGAATTATAAAAACAGCTAATATAAACTTGCAATAAAAAAATATTCCAACGACCACCAGAACATGATTCAATTGATCTGAGCATTCCAATAACTAACAGCCAAATGCAGTCAGATGCTAAATGCTCATTTAATGCCGCTAAGACTATCTTACCTAATTGTGGGCTTTTCTAATCGACTTTCAGTATGTAAAATAAAGGTAAAAGTATTTGCGTAAACTCTCATTTTAATCGGGATTCATTATCTCTACACGGAGTACTAGTAATATATAACATTAATGTATATCTTCAACAATCATTGATTTCATTAATACTGAATATGGTGCCAAGCTGTTGATGGCTGCTATGAACTAACACTTGAAGCATATTGCCTTAACACGTTGACTACGATTGCTTGATCTTGTACTATTATTTCATTTTTTTTATACTTTTTTAAGCAGGGTTGCCAGACGGTCATTTTTTCCGGACAAATTCCGTGATTTAGTTTTCCTCAATTGCGTTGGCCGGCTAAAATTTATGATAGAGGTACTTCCTAATTAAATTTTAAATACCGCAAAAAGAAAATAAATGGAATTTTTATAGCGGAACCTACAAATAAACTAGTATACATTGAATTATCGGCCTTTTTTTGGCCTTTTTTGTTCTCGGATTTGGCCGATTTTAGGCAACCTGAATTATGTACATCTACGTCCTGGAGAAATACATTTCGTGGTACGCATATGTACCAATACGTAGTCAACGTGTTAACAGAACAACCTGACCTGAAAGTCTCTTGTTTCAAAGAGGCAAAGCTGTGGCTCCAGGCGGTCAATTATCGGCCAATTTAAAATTTAATTTCCATATAAATTAATTAAAAATTATACTGACTTTTGAAAATGGTGGTCCCGATTTGCGGATTGATGTGCTTTAATTTTTTTATATAGCAATATGAAGTAGTAAGAGATTATATTATAAATATATTTACATTTCCGTCTTCAAAATTACCATTCGGATAGTAACCAGCACCAAGTGGATGTTATGGGAAGTGGTAGACAGCACAGGTTATTATTCACCAGGAATTTGGTAGCTAAATAACTGAAGTCTTATGAAAGATATACTCCATATTAAACCATATAAACAAGCTTTCAGCTCGGAAATCGAGCGACTAGCATGAAACATATTCTCTAAGGTCCAGTTTGAGTCATGAGTTGTGTTTATGTTTTTAAACCTGACAATGTTTGTAAATGTAAGTTGTCATCGAATGTTCGATATACATTGAAAAACTTAAAACTTTCATCGTCATCGAATGTTTGATAACAAACACGGCGCCGTACAACCGTTTTAAAGTTCTGAATTCAATTAAAATTTTTGTATGGATCCCTTCTCATACTCTATTTTTATTACAACACTTCTCTTTAACTTCACTTCTTGTTTGTTTGTCTGTCTGTCTGTCTCTCTGCTACAAATCTTGTAATCGAAATTTAACACACTTTTACTTATCCTATCGATCTGAAATTTTGCACACTTGTGTAAAGTTGGAGACAATGCATAAATCAAATGTCAAAATAAATTATTTTAAAAAATTTGTTTTTTCAATATTAAAAAAATTGAAAAAGTAATTTTGTCAGCTACAAATCTTATAACTGATATTTGACACACTTTTACCTGTCTAATTGATCTGAAATTTTGCACAAAAATTGAAAAATTAATTTTTTTAATATTCGAAAGTTAAATGAGAAATTCATTGTAGATCTGTAAGATTGGAGATACTGGATTCTTTGGAAGTGTTGTCTTTAAAAAGTAATTTTTAAACGTATATTATTTATATTCAAATGATAATTTATGTATGTATTTGCCTAACTTCGTAAAAACTTGCGATCATGTTCTTATGTATTTCAGTTAAAAGTAAATGTCACAAATTTTGCATGCTTGCTATTGAAATAAAGTAATGGATATTTTTAGCGCATTTTCTCATTTATGGAAAAAATGCCCTATTGTGCTCGTCATGTCCGTCCGTCCGTCCATCTGTCTGTCTGTCTGTCCGTCCGTCCGTCCGTCCGTCCGTCCGTCCGTCCGTCCGTGACTTCACGTTTTCGTCGACGAGAAAATGCGCTCTATGTCCCTCACTGCAGTGAGGGACATAGATATATATATTTTTGATATATTTTTCCCTTGACTTCTTTTTCCGAGGCTCGCTGTACTAAATTGACAACTTGTTGCAGCGGTAAAATGCGCTCTCTGTCACTCACTGAATCTAGTACTGAGATATTTTTTTCCCTTGACTTCTTTTTCCATGGCTCGCTGTACTAAATTGACCACTTGTTACAGCGGGGAAGGCATCGTGTACCAGGTGGACGAGGCCACGGGGGGGCTGGAGGTCACACACAGACTCGCGCTCTCCCCTCGGGACTACTCAGGCTATCCTGGACCTGTTGGTGAGACCTGGGCCTATACTTTCAAAAAAGTTAAGAGATCGTAAGTTCATCAGCCAATCATTGACGGTCTTTTAATAAGCAAAATCCACCAATCATAGACAAGAAAATAGAGCGTAAGTACTTACGTTCACTTGCCGAGTTTTGAAAGTATGGCCCCTGGCTTATTAGGCCTACGTATGTTATATGAGTGTAAACTGTTAGAAAAATTACCGTTAACGGTATTACCGGCGTTTCAGTGGCCGGTCGGCATGTAAAAAGAAACACCGTGTCGCCGTTTTTATTCGAACTTAACACTAGAAATCCGTAAAACATCCGATAAAAACTGCGAAACAGTTCATTTTCACGGGGCCACTAGAATGGCCACTAGAATGCCAGTGGGACCGTTTTTTCTAAGTGTAATATGGTGTGGTGATGGCGCCTGAGATGGTTTAACAAATGCTTGTACTTCTGTTATCATTAGTCTTAACCTCCAAGTTATTAATGCTCAATCAGATGGGCTTTCTTGCTGTTTATATGAGCCACGTTCGCAAGTACTCCGTTTTGGTGAATATTTCCTCATAACGACTAGATTATTTGAAGTTGAAATGTAAAATCTGCGTACATATTTTGCTTTATCGCTGCTCCTTGACGGCTCTCTTCCTGAGAATTAATCGTAGGTCTAAGCGTAATCGGACAACGAACAACTCATTGTAGGTCCAAGCATAATCAGACAACGAACATCTCATTGTAGGTCTAAGCATCAACAGACAACGAGCATCTCATTGTAGGTCTAAGCATCAACAGACAACGAGCATCTCATTGTAGGTCCAAGCATAATCAGACTTCAAAAATTTTCACGATGCAACGTCGCAAATCAACTTAGGATCTGTCAAAGATAAAGATAGCACCACTGCGTTTCAACAGGACTGCTGAAGTGGTCCCCTGACGGGACGGTGCTGGCGCTGTGCTGGGCCAGCGGAGGCTTGTCCCTCTGGAGCGTCTTCGGGTCGCTGCTCACGACGTCCCTCAAGTGGGACTACGACGACGACCCGCGCTCCAGACCCATCGCCATCTCCTCTCTGGTGAGTGTGCTCTGTCGGACTATATGCCTTGAATACAACCCTTTACCACATCCCTTCACCACACATCCCTTCACCACACATCTCTTCACCTCACATCCCTTCACCACACATCCCTTCACCACACATCCCTTCACCACACATCCCTTCACCACACATCCCTTCACCACACATCCCTTCACCACACATCCCTTCACCACACATCCCTTCACCACACATCCCTTCACCAGCCTTTAACAAAACTTCAAAGTTCAATGAAAACTAAAAAATATTTTATTGTATTTTTAATAAATTTCCATGCGGTGCAAAACCACAACAATAAGATTGATTTGTCACGTACAGGAGTGGGGCGCGGAGGGCTACGAAGCTTGGTGCGTTCAGATATCGAGACAGAAGCCTGCAGCGGCGCCCAGTGTAGGAGGCCTGATGCTCGCTACGGGCGGCACCACGCCGGCCTGTGAGCAGCCTGCTCACGCTGCAGCTGCTCATACGAAAGCTAACGTTGATGGTGTGGATGACGGGGAGGCTTCTGATGCAGCTTCTGATCTCACGACAGCGGTGTTGCAGTTCAACTTCATCAAAAGTGCTCTCACTGTTAACCCGAGCATGGTTAGCATACGCGAGCATCATTCACTTCCAGGATTTTTAATTTATTTGTGAACTATTCAACATGACTAGTTTTCTGTTCGCTGTGACTTTTCTCTTAGCGATATTCATCTTTGGATGCATTTTCCTTGACGCCATTGAATCTTTGTATTAACCAATTAAGAAATATTTTATTATAATTAGTAATTATATAATTAATATATTGATAGATTAATTATATTATCCCATCACGAGAGCATATTTCTTGTCTAAATTATGTTTGTCAAAATAAATTTCTGCTGTTTCATGTAGTGACTGAGATGTAGTTAACTCGTGATAGCAATCGAGAAGACTGCCATTGCAGACATTTTATTCTTGTAATGAATGTTAAATTGCTTAATATTCTTATTCAGATCCATCAATATTAATTTTGTTGCTGGTTTCCAACCTTTCGTTATAATTTTCTTTACCAAATAAACGTTCTGTAAAGCAATACCTTTACCAAATAAACGTTCTGTGAAGCAATACCTTTACCAAATAAACGTTCTGTGAAGCAATACGTTTACCAAATAAACGTTCTGTAAAGCAATACGTTTACCAAATAAACGTTCTGTGAAGCAATACGTTTACCAAATAAACGTTCTGTAAAGCAATACCTTTGCCAAATAAACGTTCTGTGAAGCAATACGTTTACCAAATAAACGTTCTAAAGCAATACCTTTACCAAATAAACGTTCTGTGAAGCAATACCTTTACCAAATAAACTTTCTGTAAAGCAATACGTTTACCAAATAAACATTTGGTAGAGCAATACGTTTACCAAATAAACGTTCGGTAAACATTGCAGCATTACTGAGTCACTTGTCTTGTTCAGAGCGGCGTACAACGCGTGTTGCTGCAAGGCAGTGACCGCATTTACCTGAGCACTCCTGAAGAACTGCCGTACAGCAACTGTAACGTCGCTGGCGAGTCTCTGGGTCCCTACGGTGACGAATCCTTCACTAGTGACGTGCTCTTCCCTGACGAGGAAGAGGAGGACGGCTGCAGCACAGAGGGCAGGAACGATCATTATTACCTTGAGAACGAACACAACGCCTTCGCTGGCTGCAATAAACAATGGCTCGTCGTGCCCATCCCTTATAACTACACCGCCGCAAACTTCCCCATACGTGTTAGTTCTGATCAAAAATGGTTTTTAGAAATTATGTTTTGAAATTGAAAACGTTAATACAAGTTTTATCGGATAATAATTATTTATTTTTGTTCATTGCTGACTCGATTTCATAGCATAATACTAAGTTATCCATGCCATGCACTGTGATGTTTGCCCAGACTTCTTTTTCAGATGTCATCAAGTTTTTCATGTGTGTCTTGAAACATCAAAAGATTGTGTTTATGTTGTAAAATATTACCTACTGCATTGTTTCCTTCCTAATATTTATTAATCATCTGGTATGGATGTTGGGTTGTGCTATGTAACCAAAAGCTCGCCAGATTTTCTATTGAGTACAATTACCGGGAATGTAGTTTGCTAATTTATATTCATTCCTGTTCAGTATGTGTGCACATCTCCGGACTGCAGCGTCGTGGGGGTGGCCGGTCGTAATGGCGCTGCTCACTATTCCCTCAAGAGTCGGCGCTGGCATTTATTTGGTAATGAGAGTCAAGAAGAAGACTTCGTAGTGACCGGTGGACTTGTGTGGTGGCAGTCCACACACCTCGTGCTCGGAGCCTACAACATTCCTGCCAACACAGACGAACTCAGACTGTACCCTCAGCACCAGAAACTTGACGACCAGTTCTGTACGGTGGTCAAGCAGCCTGCTCAGGTAAGCTTATATTGGCCGCCGTCCTGCACTTCTTCGATCATGTAATACTTAATTCATAGCTGATCATGTAATCCATAATTCATAGTTGATCATGTAATCCATAATTCATAGTTGATCATGTAATCCATAATTCATAGTTGATCGTGTAATCCATAATTCATAGTTGATCGTGTAATCCATAATTCATAGTTGATCCTGTAATAAATAATTCATAGTTGATCATGTAATCCATAATCCACATTTGATCGTGTAATACATGAAAAATTTCTCTCAGAATTCTCTTCTTTGTACAAGATTTGAATAATTTGTACAATTCCAAATGAAAAAAGTTCCAAAAAATGAAATAGAAAAATTCTTTTGTATTTTTAGTTGTTTACTGCAGTGTAAAGTCTGATTACTCGGAACTACAGGACCGGTATGACTGGAGCTAGTCATTACAAACTTTTAAATATGCCACGGAACTGATTCGAGATGAATTTTATGTGTGTTGCAGTCTTTTCCCTGCAACGCTGATATTGTGCACACCCAGAAAACTCTTTGATTATCATCAAATGTCCTAACTTTATTTATTACTTGCCAGTTTGCGACTTGGTTTATGTCTACCAATAAAGCATTGATATCAGTCCAATTGATCGTACTGTTGCAGGTGCTGCTGCTAAATATTTACAGGGACCTACTGGCAGTGCTCACGGCTGACTGTCACATCACAGTTTATCACCTCAGTCTCAACTCTGCGGCTAAAGGTGAGCAGCTTACGCACGGACTCTTTAATCCCTTGTGTTCTGCATCGAAAAATGTATTGTACGTTTAAGCGGTTTTATCATCTCTTATATTTTCAGGAAATTTTCAGCTTCCTCGGACGTCTGTAACAGCGTTGCCAGAATGAGTTCTCCTTGCAAAATGCTTCACAAACTTTTTGTTTTGCTTCAAAGCTTTTGCGAACTTTGTTACAGGATCTTTTTGTTTATTTTTTACTGTAAGGCCATTCTAGACGCAAGAAATTCGTATTTAAACGTTGTTAGTAACATTAACTTTCAAATAATAATAATAAACAATAATAATATTCTTCTAATAACCCTTCAAATCATGAACGATCTTTTGGACAGCAATCTTACTCGTGTATTCTAGAAGCTCTTGTTTGGGGAATTTTGGTATAAATTTGACGTTCGCGTAACTGATCACAACGTAATAGATTAACATTCTAAACCTGTGGTTCAAAAGCTTTTTGTTGTAATATAAGACTCAAATCCCGCAAGACTTTCAATTGAGTATAATTGCCAAGGTATATTAATGTACCTATTCAATATGCAAATTATATTAGAATAATAATGGTTAATGCCCTGGGCTTAATCCCCGTCGCCAGTTTGACCCTATCACTTTATCCCTACTAACTTATTCATGTATGATTCGTAATCCTCCTTCTGATCTCCTCTCTCCCTTCCCCAAGGTTTCGGGATATGTGCGAATTCTCTTAATTAAATTAAATTCCAGTTAAATCTTCCTGCTTGAAAATTATTTAGTAGAGAATGAGGCTCTCCAGCAAGAACAACTAATGAAAAAAAATCAAAATAATACTTCCACGAATAAACCCTTAAATACAATAGCGCAACTAGAAATACGAAATTAACTAGAAATACAATAGAAATCTTAATACATAAACATTGAACCTACACTATTAACACTACACTCGCGCCTTCTTCCCAGCTGCACATCACCAAGTTTTCTCTTTACATAAAATTAGTAAATCTTTAATCGAAACCCCAAAATCATGACAATTAACTCTTCCCTCCACAGATGAATCAACCATTCATTCTTTTATTTGTAGCTTTGCGTCGCTTATATGGACATTAGTGATGCACAAATTAACGTCTTCCTGTTTCTTTTGCTATGAATATTCAACGTAGTTTAGTCATCTCATAAATCATTTGAGCTTCTTTTCTTACCATAATTTAACTTATGATTCTCATACACGATAATATCCCAGTTTGTATGTGCTAGTATCTTCATATGTGCCAGTCATCTTCATAAATCATTTGAGCTTCTTACCACAATCTACCTTATGATTCTCATACACGATAATATCCCAGTTTGTATGTGCCAGTATCTTCATATGTGCCAGTCATCTTCATAAATCATTTGAGCTTCTTACCACAATCTACCTTATGATTCTCATACACGATAATATCCCAGTTTGTATGTGCTAGTATCTTCATATGTGCCAGTCATCTTCATAAATCATTTGAGCTTCTTTTCTTACCACAATCTACCTTATGATTCTCATACACGATAATATCCCAGTTTCTGTCAGTATTTGTGTCTGACTTGCCATGGTTTGTATGGACAGCCAAGCGCGGGACTGGAGTCTCTCAAATTCGCGCTCTCGCTTTGCCTGGCCTCACGCCTGCCCCATTCCGTCTAACTGTCCTGCAGCCGCTCGTAGTGAGCAGCAAGAGCGTCATGTTCGACGCTAGGGCTTTGCCCTTAAGAAATAAAGTCAGACGCGCTCCATGGAGGACCCGGGCCAGTGATGGAGAGGAGTCAGCTCCTGACTCCACTGACGCGCCACGAAAACGTCAGCGTGGGTGGTGGCTTCATCGGTCATTGTTTTTGTTACGTGTGTGAGACTAGCGCGTTCTCGGGAGTTCTCTGTGCTTTGCGGGATGGCAGCAACATGCGCTTTTTAGCGCATTTTCTCATTTATGAAAAAAATGCACTATTGAGCTCGCCTGTCCGTCCGTCTGTCTGTCCGTCTGTCTATCCGTCCGTGACTTCATATTTTCGTCGACGAGAAAATGCGCTCTCTGTCACTCACTGCAATGAGTACTGAGTTATATTTTTTTTTAACTGACGCTGGGGTTTGCCGTTCGTGTTTTCTTCTGTCCGTGGCACATTCATGGTAGTGGTTTCGTCGGGAGTTTCTTCTTATGATCGTTTGACCCGAGAGAAAAATTACTTCTAGCCCTTCGAACCCTTCTAACCTAATTAATCTAACCCTTCGAGGGCTTTTTTTTACAGCCGTTCCACTGCGAAAAAATCGCACTGTTTGGCCATCCATAATTTTCTAGGTTATCTACTCTTGGGAAATCTGGTTTCATTTCGTGTGTTATTCTTTTTTTCGCGTTTGCCATCATTGAACATATGTAGGTATGTATATATGCTTGCGTTGTCATATACATTGCAGAGCAACTACGCGCATTTCATAGATCAAGCCGTCATTTGTTGATCTGTCGCGCCTTTTGTTTGTTACGCTTTAAAGCTGGACACTTACTCGGAGGCTTCATTGATTTTGATTGAAGAACCTGGATGTGTTGAAACTTTAATTAAAAAATGCACTATCGGTTTACCAAGATTGTAAGCGGTGCCAAATAGGATTACCTAACAGCCAAGCTATGAACAAGCTTTGTCGGTGTAGGCAGCAGGAGGCGGTATCTGAAGCTCTATTAAACTTATTTCCACTATGCTATTAGTTCTACTATCACTACTACAAATATACTATTACTCCTACCATAACTACTACTTACTTCTACTACTACTGACGCAGGAAGCGGTCGTGGGACAGACGAGGGATGTGTCGTGGAGCGTGTACAGGAGGTCGACATCAGTGGTCTGGCTGTACTACCACTATACTACTACTTCTACTATCACTACTAACTACAAATATACTATAACTCCTACTTTAACTACTTGTACTATTACTGACGCAGGAGGAGGTCGTGGGGCAGACGAAGGATGTGTCGTGGAGCGTGTACAGGAGGTCGACATCAGTGGTCTGGCGGTACACCCTGCATGTGTGGTGTCCATCGCCCTCACCTCCCTACGCACCGAGTCTCCCAAGCTCCCCACACATCCCACCGCTGCGCCCTCCGTCATGTCCAGGCACAGGTGTCTTCCTCGTCACTAAGTCCCACCCAGAATTAGATAGAAGTTTAAAATATTCAATTAGTTCTTTTCTTTAATCAGAATAGAAGTTTAAAATATTCAATTAGTTCTTTTCTTTAATCAGAATTAAACATGAAATAATGCAATGAAAGTAAATAGCGTCCAAAATTATCGATTGTAAGTTCTCCAACAGAGCACCCCAGTTTATTGATATACAGGGTTTTTCTAAATGTTGGACCCAATTTAATAAATTCGTATCTATTTATGTTTAAATTCAAAATGAACAATTTATACAAATGTACAGAGAAAGATTCAAAACATTTTTTAAATTATTCAAACGCGGAATTGGGCGGCGGGGCGGAAACGACCGCTATAGTTCTCGCGCCAGTCAGCTGCCTTTGTGTTCCACTGTCACTTGTGAGTGAGATGGATACTGTGCAGCCCAAGGCTTTCTGCGTTCTTGAGTTTGCTAAAAGTGAGTCGCAAGTTGCAGTGCAGCGGGCATTTCGTCTCAAATTCGGTACTGAACCTATTGGCTGGCTGGTGCGAGAACTCTAGCGGCCTTTTCCGCCGCCGTCTCCCAATTCCGTGTTTGAATAGATTAAAAAATAATTTTAATCTTTCTCTTTCCATTTTTGTATAAATTATTCATATTAAATTTATACCTAAATATTTACGAATTCATTAAATTGGGTCCATCACCCTGTATTTCTGCCTGATTTCACCGCGCAAAGTATGTGAACAGGTGTGCTCTACTCTGAATGTTCGTTTCGCCACATGCCGAAAGTTGGCTCGAATTAAATCGTTTTACACCTCCTGGCACATTTAAACACATCGCATTTTCTCCACAACAGAAGCACGGTTGGGTCGTCATCTCGCCTGAACAGTTCATACGAACATCACCGGCTCGGCTACGAACACAGCGTCAGCTACTGCGGCTCACAAGCCGCCTCTGCGGGTACCGACGTATAACTTTATTTTTTAATTTAATAAATCTTGCTTATGCTTTCCAAGGTGGTTCTTAGCTTCTCATAGAAGTCACTTTGCTAAGGGAAGAAGATATGTAGAATATATCAGAATTTTTCGGTTGAATAAATAAATTTGTGCTGGCTCTATTTTCCTGATCTTTTACGTGACAAATTTTTTTTATCTTGGTCAAAATGCTGCAGAAATCAATAAACTAATGTGAATCCGCTAACAAACCGCTCATATTAACGACGTTTGTGCATAATTCACAAGTCACTGACTTGTAATCACGACGAATGTGTACAATAAACAAGTCACTGACTTGTAATCACGACGAATGTGTACAATAAACTAGTCACTGACTTGTAATCACGACGAATGTGTATAATAAACAAGTGACTGACTCGTAAATGTTTCAGGTTACAAGAACTACCGAAGACGTTCATCTCGGTACAGCTCGTCTCTGAGCTCCGGTAGCTACAGCGCTCACGAGACTCGGAGTTCAGATTTGACTGCGCCGGCAGACAAGCCCCCGCCTGCGCAGAGTCTCATCTTCAACATATCAGGCAAAGTCCTGATGATTCAACGCGACCAGGCGCCTCCCAGTGCCGTTAAAGACCCCAACGGATCGGGGCAACTTGAAGAACAGAAGGACAACGGGAAGCTGGTAAACTACTAAATCAATTTGGATTATTTCATTGACTATTATCCCCCTCATTATTTAGGCTATGGTTGTTGTTTGATGAATAGTTGTACGAGTCACTTCTTGGTTTTAGAATTATCGGTGCTTCTTTTATTCATGTAACGTGTTTTTAATATCAGAACTGATCGATTTTAAACGCCTATCTAACTTCAAATCCCTTTAAACACATGGTTAATTTCTGAAGAAAATTAGAGCCGATTTATTTCGACTACTTCTTACACTATAAAAATACCAATTGACTGCAACAATTTGAAGTTATTTGATCCTCTATGTTCACATCAGCATCTAGAACTATTTTTTATTACTCATTGCGCGTTTATGTTTCAGTTCCAGCAGGCGCAGATGACGCCCATCGTGCTGGCCAGTTGCTGTGAGAGCTTCTGGTGCAGCAACAGCGGCAGCGCCTCCCTCAAGCCTCACCTCAGCCACGCCCTGTGGCTGCACTGCGGCGCTCAGGGCACCCGAGCCTGGCTGCCCCTCTTCCCTAACACTGCCGACCGCAGCCATACATTCCTTGCCAGGCGCATCATGTTGCCTGTCATGCCTTCTATTTATCCCTTAGGTATATCATGCTGCCCGTCATGCCTTCCATTTACCCGTTAGGTATATCATGCCTTCCATTTATCCGTTAGGTATATCATGCTGCCTGTCATGCCTTCCATTTATCCCTTAGGTATATCATGCTGCCTGTCATGCCTTCCATTTATCCGTTAGATATATTATGCTGCCTGGCATGCCTTCCATTAGGTAAATTTTGCCTCACTTTTCGAGATGAACAACGCATATAATCTTCCATTGAGGAAATATTAGCGTTTCGCGGAAGTTCCTGTTCTATTTCATTCTACTCAGTTAGCCTTTAATCTTCTCATTAGGATCAGCTAGTCTATACACCCTAATGGCCTTCTTATAGTTCTCGACTCATCCAGCGCGTCAAACAAACCTAAACATCTTTTGTGAACACTGAAGATCGCGTGAGCACAGCTATTTAGTCAGGCATATTCTCATACTGATTGCATTGAACGACTCTGGTTTAGCAGTATAGATATTTCTGTAACCTTGTGGGCCTACTCAGTCATGTGGTATAGCCGCGCCTCACGGCCAATTATTCGACGTAGATTGAATTTTTTAAAGCTTTTCACTACACTTCGACGGAGATTTAAAGCTTTTCATCACACTTCGACGTAGATTTAAAGCTTTCAGGATGGGACTCGAAGTGATGGAACAGCTTTGTCAATCTTTCCAAGGCAGAATTTCGTTGTTCACTCGAGTTATTTATTTACCTGTGCTCTTGTCATAAGGTTACAAGTTAATGTATGCATTTTGCAGCGGTGCTGTTTGAAGAAGGCATCTTACTGGGGGCCGAGACTGACTCGTCTCTCATGGGTTGCGACTCGAGCGCCCTCCACCAGCCCACTGCAATCATCACGAGAACCGTGAGTAATGTAGTCTTGAACCTGCCGTTCCATACAGCAGTCCAGTTTAATTTAATAACCGTGTTGTAATCCTGATCACCAAAAAATTTATTAGAATGTTATTTGTAACTCCGTTACAAATACACCATATATGGCGCGAGCTGTGGCTGAACACGAGAAACAATAAACTGAGAACAATCAAGGACAGTGTATCAGCATGGAGCTCCTCGTACCAGAGATCCCGACAAATGGAGATAGCGCTGTGTAGACTGAGGATTGGCCATACGCGCCTCACTCACGGCTACCTGATTGAACGACGCCCTATACCATATTGTGACGACTGCCTGGTGCCACTGACAGTTCTGCATGTCTTGGCGGAGTGCCCTAGCCACAACGACATCCGACAAAACTGCTACCCCAACACATCCGCCCTCGATCATGACGAGATGCTCACCAGAATGCTGCGGGAGGACCGGCGAAGTAACTTCGAAACCGATANGCTGAGTGGGGGAGGCAGCTCGCTGAGTGGGGGAGGCAGCTCGCTCAGTGGGGGAGGCAGCTTGCTGAGTGGGGGAGGCAGCTCGCTGAGTGGGGGAGGCAGCTCGCTGAGTGGGGGAGGCAGCTCGCTGAGTGAGGGAGGCAGGTTGCTGACTGAGAGATCTAACCACCTGACTGAGAGAGGAGACACGCTGACCAATGTAGGAAAGTCGTAGCTCGCCTGTCATTTCTTTCATAGAGGCTGCTGGTGACGTCGCAAAGATTTTCATTTATATTTCTAGTTATGCTGCTGTTAGGAACTATGAACTATATTCTAGTAATCTGTCCCTTCCATTTCATGTTTGTGTTGTTTCAAGTAGGTACTGATGATTCTTATATTAATATAATGATTGCTGGATTGTTTCGAGTGATAAAAGTTGTCGCGGTTATTAATCGTAGCTTTCTTCGCGGCATCTTGTTACTATGCCTATTTGGTCACTCACCCTTATTTTGCTCGTGTCACGAACTCTGAACACTTCGCATATACCGTATGCCTTAACATTCAAATGTCTTCAAATAAGTACCGGCGCGCTATCCTGGTCTAGTGTCAGTGACTGAAATAAGTTTTATCATCTACCTATATTACCTATTCCTTGGTTCTAACAAGATAATCTCGTCTCCAACTCTACTCTGCTTTTCTCTTTTTGCTTCATCGTCATTAAATGGAAGGTTTGGATGTTATTTTAATGCAGGATCTTGGCAAAGAAAACCAGCAAATGTCTGCCAGAAGTCTATACATAATTGCCGTTGACGAGAGAATGCCTTGGCAACTTTGTGAAGGTCCCTTAGAAAATAAAATAACCTACACTATCCCGTCCACAATACACGTGGAAGTTGTCACCATTTTGCCCATATTGGGCGAAGATAACAATGGTAGTACCTATATAGCAAGCTCCTCGGCTTCAACTTCATTGCAAATATTACAGTGAAAGAATATTGTGTTATTCAGGTACTGGAAGAGGAAGCGACCAGTAAGGAGCCTCTGCCGGACTCTCTGTTGCCGCGCGTTTTGGACTTCATCAAGGAGTTTCCAGTGCATCACCTGCAGACGGTGGTGCAGTGCGCTCGTAAGACCGAGCTCCCTCTCTGGCGCTTCCTCTTCTCAGTCGCTGGCAGTCCCGGCATACTCTTCAACCAGGCTCTGGCTGCCAGACAGCTCGACACCGCTGCCAGCTACCTCATTATTCTTCAGGTTGGCTTTCTTCTGCGAGATTTTTCTTATGTTATTTGCTGTGTTAGCTCGTCCTGTGGGTGTGGTCATTTAAAATATTCTTTCTCTCACTCACAAGTAGATCTAATGGTTAATAGTAATAATAAGAGTAAAGTTTTGTATGTTCGTTAATAGATCTCGTTTACTTATTGTTGTAAAGCAAACATGATGGTTCTTGAAAGTTTTATTAAATTTTTTTCGAATAATTTGCAGAACCTGGAGAGCGCAAGCGTGAGCCGCAGCCACGCCACTCGCCTGCTGGACGCGACGCTCGAGGCGGGCAAGTGGCATCTCTGCAAGGACCTCATCAGGTTCCTGGGCGCCATTGGTGCGTAGTGTCGCCTCCAAGTGTACGAGTGCAAAATTATACATAACAATCTGAATATTTCAGCGTAGTGTCGCCTTCGTGTGTACGAGTACAAAATTATACATAACAATCTAAATATTTCAGCGTAGTGTATCCTCCAAGTGCACGAGTACAAAATTATACACAACAATCTGTCAATATGTCATGGAGACTTGTGCTCTTCTAATAGGTTTCCATTTAACGCTACAAAATTATACATATAAATCTAAATATTTCATGGAGACTTTTGCGCTTCTCATAGGTTTCCATTTAACGCCTATTGAATAAGCCTAGACTTGGTAAACTTATGATGTTATAGCACCTCTTCATCTTATGCTTTACCAGAAAACTTCTTTATCATGCGTATTGATTCCCGGTTGAATTTAATTGTTTACAATATTTCTGAAAGTTTATAATGTACTCAGACCCGACGGACCTGGACTCGCCGAAGCCGTCATGTAACGCCCCCAGCGTGACGACGAGCGGCAGTTCTGCGGGGGGCGTGGGCAGCGGCGCTGCGACGGGCGGGGCCGTGAACGCTGTAGGCGGCAGCACCAAAGTCGGCTTCAGTCACGCCTCACAGCCCGTGTCCCCCGCCTGCGTTGACGAAGATCTCTCCATGATTTTACCCAATACTCAGGTATAAATTACCATTCCGTTCAAGTTAATCTTTTTATTTTGGGCTAGCGTCCAGCTCTATAAGAAACGCATTCAATAGTTTGAATTATTTTTTCTTTTCCATCATAGTTCCAGACGTTAACTTGACAAATGTATCGGCAGTTTTACCAATTGAGTACAATTAGCTGGTTTTGTGACATACCTCATAACTTGCGACAGCATTTGTCATGTGTAGTCACCTTCTTTCTCGCTATCTGTATCGATTATTGACAAAACTTTTCAAAGATTTTATCGTTCAAGGTGATGATCTCAATTGTTTCCTGCTAGGCCATCAATACGTATAGTGTAACCTTGTTTTGTGTATGTACTATTACTTACTATAATGCTTGGTGTAGGTAAATAATTTGCGGTAACACTGAAAAATCATTTCAGCTTCTGTATCATAGTGCAGGCAACTTACCTTCGCCACCTCATGTTGTTATTATTACTTAATAGTTATTGGCGTTGTAATCAGTAACAATTCTCTCAGCTATCGGAAGATCATTCTTTCCAACTTAGCTACGTTCAATGTAAATGCCTAAAGCATCATATTGTACTCTATTAGGCTATTATGAAGTAAACATTGCCTGGGACTGCTATATCCCAAACAAATACTAAGGACTAAGGATACTAAGAATGCATCGTATTGTCCTCTATAAGGCTATTATGAAGTAAACATTGCCTAATGCATCGTATTGTTCTCACAAAGACTATTATGAAGTAAACATTGCCTAATGCGTCGTATTATCATCCTTAAGACTATTACGAAGTAAACATTGCCTAATGCATCGTATTGTTCTCACAAAGACTATTATGAAGTAAACATTGCCTAATGCGTCGTATTACCACTGATTACCATTACCCTTGATGTCGTGTGATTACCACTGATTACCATTACCCTCGACGCCATGTGATTACCACTGATTACCATTACCCTTGACGTCGTGTGATTACCACTAAATGAAATTATTTTTTTTTTTCAATTATATATGTCACTCACGAAATATTGTTACAGACACGATAAATTATTAGTCAGGCAAGTCATATTATTTGTCACCCATGACAGATTTTTGTCATTAATTCTCTTTTTTTAACTGCTTATGGTTGTGGCGAGCTGTACAGCTTCTTGTTGTTGTGCTTGTGCTTTTGTTGTTATGCTTGTCACCAGGCTCTGGACGTACAGCGCAAATGGCAACAACTGATTGTCTGTTCTCAAATGACAAGCTTTTTATTGGTTATCGATTACTGCCACCAGTGCCTGTTCAATTGTCAATTAATGACACTAGTAAATGACGAGATTTTAATGTGGTTGTAGAATACGGCGCCTAGCGGTAGATCTTGTTGTTTCGAGACATCAACGTTATTCGCATGTTTATTTTACGACTGTGAACAAATGAACTAAATTTAATACAGAAGACATGAAATAATTTTTAATTGCTGCAGGTAGAACCGTTCGAAAATGTGAACAGTCAAACGAAAAAAAAACTTGTAAATTGAAGAGCAACGACTTCTCTCTTTCATATGGTTACTCTTTGATCGATTCATTAATTTTTTCCCCACTACATGAAGTGTTCGACTTTTATTGCTTCATTCATTTATTGTATCGTTGACATATCGCATGAATTATTGCCTAGTGATCACCATATAACACCGTATAATAGAGAATCAAAGTTCGTAAATTTTGTGCTTCTTTTGAGAGGCACACCACATAGTAGCGAACGCGTCATGAAACAATTTCGGTACGGATATTGTTTCATGACGAATTTGAACACTATTTGATTTCGGTACGAAACCCCTAAGCGATAACCGCTTTGATCGTTGCCGTGCTATCAAAATTTTTTTGTGAACATATAGCTGCAGATTTCTCGTCTGTGATTGGTGCGTTTAGCTTGGAAAGCCGTGTCAGTGATTGGCTGAGGAGAGTTACGTACTCGTAACTGTTTTTTATGTATAGTACACCTGCCGATGTTCAGTTATTCTCGCCCGCATGAGTTACACTTTCTGTTAGCCTTTACAAGTCTTGTCAGCTACAAACCACGCGGTTTTCTATTGTAATAATAGCCTCCTGCATATTGAAATTGAATTAAAATTATTTGCCCATCATCGCAATAAACTCCGTATGTCATGAATGAATTACATTCTTTCATAATCCTTTTCGGCGGCAATGTCGCCTGTTTTCTTCACCGAAAAAGGAATAAGTTTCACGGTAAATAATTTGTTAATTTGCGTGACAGGCGCTGCGCAGCCGCTCCTTCTCTAGCGCCTCCGCCCCAAAAGGCGTCAGTCCCGGGGGTTCAGGGGACACAGCGGGCGCCTCGACCCCCCCACAGCAGCACACTGGGCAGCGCTGGACGTCAGACCATAAGACTGACGCGGCTGACGGCAGGAAGAGGTCTTCTAACAGCACTACAGGAGTTCAGAGGGATGCTTCTGCTGAGGAATATTTCGTTGATGTTATCCTACAACGGCATGCCAAGGTCAGCAATGTCCTAAATGTCATGCCTAAATGTCAATGTCCTAAATGTCAAGGTCCGCAGACTTGAAAGACGAATCCCATTTTGTCTCGTCGATTCGACAACTTGTAGTTTGTCTTGAAGCTTCGACAATAATCAAATTGCTTGATTACATTTTACCTTCATTAAAAGCAAAAATAGCTGCCCAATTAACTCAAGTAGAATGAAATTACGATTTCCTGTGCAATAAAACGCGAGTGATCAAATTACTCACTCTTGGAATTTATACATGTCAATTATTTTCGATTATGGCTACATTCATGTCTTGTTTGTCAAACATCTGATTACCTTCGGCAAATTCCAAGATTTAATTTAGTTTGATAATTTAAAATAGAAAATATTCGCTTAAAAATATCATAAAAAATTACATTTTATCGCGATCCCAACCTTCTTCAAACGTTATATCATTAGAATAGATAATACAATTTAAGTTCTATAATGACTTTCAGAAACTGCTACTGGGACGCCGTCTGCACGACCTAGGCACCATGGCTGCTCGCCTGGACTTCCCTGTGGTGTCGTGGCTGCGGCGGGAACGCTGCCGTGCTGCCAGGGTGGACGACTTCGTCTCTGCCCTCAGACAGGTTCTTACCGTCACACTTACGTATAATTAGCTGTTGTATCGCACTAATCGCAGGAACTACTTACTTTTACCCTAGTTTATTAGCTGTTGTATCGCAGGAACTACTTACTCTTACCCTAGTTTATTATTTCGACAGTATATTCTCTTATCTTAATCTCTTGTGTGACGTGCCCTCGGAGTTCGTTTGAACCAGACGCCACGACAAATGCTTCGTAGAATAATAATATTAATGATTCTGAATAACTTTCCTTTTCGGGCTTATTGACGCATGACACGTGTGATAAGTCACTTGAGTTTAGTTCCATCTTAATATTCATGTTGGATCTTCTTCAGTTTACCTTCTGGTGCCGCTGCATAAATAATTTTAATTCGCGTGACCGGCGTTGCGTGCGTATAACGTGCGCCCAGTTCAAATGGTTGCTATACGCACGCCGTCTCATCGTGCGTATAACGCAGCCGTGACTCGTGTTTCAGGTGCACACGGACTTCTCGTGGCCGTGTGCACCTGAATATAGTACATATGTAGTAGTACTGAATATATTAATCCACATATAAAATGAATGTTGTACATTCGAAACGTCGTTCAATATTAAAAATGTCTATCGGTAATTTAATTTTAAATCTTCCAACACCTACGAAGAATTTAGTACGACTTGAAGCATTTAGTATTGAAAAACCTAACAAGAAGCTAATAAATAAAACTAATTCTCTTGTCTTTAACAAAACTTGCTTAAGAGAATAAATTCTGCCAGCCTACACTAATATACTATAGTATATATGTATATAGTATATATATATAGTATAGTATATATGTTATGTTTCAGGTGCACACGGACTTCTCGTGGCCGTGTGCAGCTGAATATAGTATAGTATTAATATATATGTACATTATATATGTACATAGTATATATGTTATGTTTCAGGTACACACGGACTTCTCGTGGCCGTACCCCGCGGTGACGGCCAGCAGTCTACGGCAGTACAGCGTCGAGGGACTGCATGAGAGCATCAGGGAACTCAGCCTCACCGCCCACAAGGTGGCTACTGCTTTCATTTCTCTTACTTGGCTAAGGATATAACAATACGGGGCCTATACTTTCAATAAAAGTTAAGAGATCGCTCACCGCCCACAAGGTGGCTACTGCTTTCATTTCTCTTACTTGACTAAGGATATAACAATACGGGGCCTATACTTTCAAAAAAAAGTTAAGAGATCGTAAGTTCATCAGCCAATCATTGACGACCTTTCGAGCAAAGTCCGCCAATCACAGACAAGAAAATAAAGCGTAAGCACTTACGTTTACTTAGCAAATTTTGAAAGTATGGCCCAGGGCTGTATAATAAACAATTTCCAGTATTGTTGCTGATATTGAACTTACTATTGTTGTGAGGAGAGCGCAGGTTAACTAAAGAAGGTAACTACCGCGAATAATCACTTATATCAAGTTACGACTGACTGAGAGCTCCCTGAGAGGTAGGCTGCTATTGGCTCGTAGCCTAGCAATAAAGTAGATGATTATGCGCACTCATGACTTTCAGCAAGATCCTCAATACTCGGATCAAGAAAATTGACATTGAAGCTCACACGAAGCTGAGAGTATGAAGTCTACAACACAAGTCAATGTACTTATGCTACCACCTCGATCAACTAATACCAATAATAATGCACGCTTTTGTCACCATCTTTAAATTTCATAATTTTCACTAATGAATGGCTTAATTTATTTGTAAAGTGAAGAAAATTCGATCGATGCTGATGGAATTATCTAATCAATTTTGTTCTTCCACCGTCTGCAGCGTTCACACTTTAGTTACAGCAAGAATGCTCCTTCAACATTCGTTTTTTCTATCAGATATTTCATCGACGCATATCACTATTACCAGAAAAGTTGTTCTCATTCATTGCTTCTTCTATTTTGCTTTGTGATGTACCGGCTACCACTTTAATAACTTTCCATTGCCAGATGCCGTCACTTGGCAAAATTGGTGACAGCGGCTACCTGAGTCACAGCACCTGTGCTGGTCTCATTAATTTACTACATCTATGTTGCTCTGTGATGTACCGGCTACCACTTTAATAACTTTCCATTGCCAGATGCCGTCACTTGCTCAAGGCAAAATTGGTGACAGCGGCTACCTGAGTCACAGCACCTGTGCAGGGGACACCCAGGCTGCTCTCACGCCCCAGCACGCGCCGCTGCCGCCCTCCACGGCCCCCGGCAGCTACTACACAGGCGCTGATGCCCACGACGCCACCCCCAGGCAGGCTGTGCTGGTGCCTCATGCGCCGCCTTCCGGTGAGATCTGCGAAACGGAATTTAAATGTTCATATCAAAACAAGTTTCTTGTATTTTTTTTATCAATTCGTCAAGTAAATTCGTTTTATCAAATTGTATCGCAATTTGTGAGTGAGATCTGCGAAACGGAACTTAAATCAAAACTAGTTTATTGTATTTTTTTTTATCAATTCATCAAGTAAATCTATTGCAATTATATCGCAATTTGTGAGGTAACACGTGAAACACGTACCGTATCTGTTTATTCTGATTTGAAATTATTCTCCATGTATATAATTATTACAGTACTTTCAAATAAATGTGAAATAACTATAATAAATAATAATAATAAATAAAAAATAATAGTTATTAATATTTCCTTCGATTAAAGAAGGAATCGCTAAAATGACAATTAATTGCTCATTAGTAAACGTCAATTTTAAATGTCATACTCTAAATTAAGTCAGGAAGTTGAAGATCAAGGGAAGAGTTTGCCGTTTGTATAGCTGCCAGAGTATGTTTGCGTGACTCCGGCTACTTTATTCACAGATTTAAGTGAAGCTACACGTATTTGGATTCGGATTTATATTTACGACTTGGTAAGCTATGACGAAGGAATTTTTCTTGCTACACAAGACCATGAATTTTTTTCAAAGAAGTTCGGTGTGGATGTAATGTCAAGTGACTATGGCACTGCCACATTCAAATGGACAATGACTATCGTCATTAGAGTGGGTAAAAGTCAGCCTTTGTCTCTTAAATAGTGATTACTGAAGAGTCAAGCTATTTGTTTGAATTTTGCAGGTGAGCAGATGAGCGCAATGAGCGAGGAGTGCTGCATGAGCAGCGTCTACGGGGGCGACAACTGCAGCGTGATGAGCACGGCCGCTGCAGCGATGCACAGGTTACATCAAATTTATTTATTATTTCAATTACTTAATATTTAGTTTATATTTTATTGTTTTGCTATGTAACACATAGTCATTTTGTTAAGCCCCTGGTCACATCATCCGAGCATTTTATGCTAGTTTCTCCATCTAGGGCGTAAAATTTTTCCTTTCGTTTGACTTATATTCTTTGTTCTTTAGCCTTTCACTTGATTTAATACTAGCAATAGTAGTAATACTAGTCTTTAATACTAGCAATTAGTTTGGTAAATAATCACGATATTCCCTTCAGTTTTCTGTTACCGAACCATTTTCACTCGTCAAATGATTATTAAATCTAAGACCGTCACGAAACGGGCACTCAGCAGAACTCACTAAATTCGTGGGTGTTCCCTTAAATCGGAGCTAAGAATTTTTTCTGTTTAAAATATTTCTTTTATGCAACCAGTCATTTCATCACATCAGAAAAAATATCCTTCCTTGCAATATATTATATAATATTTAATCAGTATATAATCAATATAATCAATATACAGTGGGGGGAAATAAATATTCGTACACTTGAAAAATCGTATTTTAATGTATGTAAGTACACAAACTTAACAAATTTTTGAATACTATGCGTCTCTATACATAATTTAAATCACTTTTCCTGTTAAGTTTGTGTACTTACATACATTAAAATACGATTTTTCAAGTGTACGAATATTTATTTCCCCCCACTGTATAAGCAATATATTAACAGACAATATGTTGCCTACGACACTACGGCGACACTTGGTGAGTGTGTTCGAGTAATATTCAACCCTTTCTGACCAATCACCTACCCCGAGTTGACTCCGACACATACCTAAGAAGTATCTTGGCTCCACCAGAAAGTCAACCTCCTCATAGAGTTTCTGAGCGATAAGTATATTCGACAGTATATGATCTGTTCAATATCTAATACATGTGATACTTACTGATCCTTAGCCCGCGACGCCCTACGTGACATCCGGCGCGAGATAGCGCGACCTGAAACGTCAGCAATTATGACCACTAACTAAATCATCTGAACAAGAGGAAAAATTGACGATTTTTTATGTTGTTTTTACCTGAATTTGATTTTAGTCAGACAGTTCAATCTCTGATTGGTATGGGCAGAGACGATAGCGGTGACGCTTGGAATGGCGAGGACGGTGATCCCACTAGGGATCTACTGGCGCGCTCTCCTGATCCTCCGCTCCTGCCGTCCCCAAAGCCACCGCCCCACGCGCAGGTCCAGCTTCGCTACCTTCTGCAGGTTGGTTCCCTGCTTGCTGGGAGGCATACTATCAAAACTTGCTTAACCCCTTTCGCGGGCAAGCATTTGCCCGACTTTCTCAATCCACTATAAGAATGTATCAACTATTCTAAGAAACATTTACCCAAATAAATTTTCTGAAATTCCTCTTATTAAAGGAGTAATTCGAAGTTGAATACTTTTTAAATCCGGTCATCACGCTTACAAAAATTGATCTAATTTAAACTTTAAGATACAAATGCAAAAGATAACTATTTAAGTTCAATTTGCCACAATTAAATCAAATTACTTCTAGTAATTGAATAGAAATTGCAACTTCCGACTTTTAAGAAAATGCGAAAAGAGCGTCAAATTCGTATTTCGGGTCAAAATGCCCACATTTCAGTTCTGGGGCATGTTATAGGATGATGCTTTAAACGGAACGATGGTCGTGTGTTTGGTGATTGGCACACATACAAGCTGGAAGCAAACACAAACTGGAGGCGGTTGTGGGTCCTTTTGGGAGGAGAATTTAAGTGACCATATATAGTAACTTGTTCGTTAAAGGTTTAAGAACGCGTAGCGGCTTGAGTGCACATAGCGGCCGATTTATTCTCTGTGATTGGTGGGTATACATTGAAAAGCCCTCAGTGATTGGCTTACGTAGTTACGAATTAGAAACCTTTTATGATATTGCACCTCCAGTTCTGTTGCCCTGGCCGATCAAAATATGAATATCAATCTGCTTGCGAAAGATCAATTTTGAGCCTCGTGAGGGCGACTAATTTATGTTAATCGTTTTTCAGATTATCTTCGAAATTGCTTTGTAGACTTCTCTTAATATTTCTGAAGTTTTTTAACATATTCTAATGAAAGGGCCCAAAAAAGGGCCGTGTATAATTTTTTTAAAATTTCCATCGTGAATTTCACGATTTAATTACATACCGGTATCTACAAAATCTGTTATAAAATGTTTTATTTACTATTTTTGGTTATAATTTCTAGCAGTGATTTTCTCCTTCATAAACACTATTGCCGCATGTGTTTGGCTGGACTTTTTAGTATGAGCTTCCATCGTGAATAAGTTTGGCTGTGGTGCCTGAACCCGACCTAACTATGATTTTAATAACATATGTTGAAGATTGATACATATTAAACATAAAGATTAGAACTATAAATCTTGAGAACGTCTATGGTTCGTGAAGATTGACGCATAGTGGACATAATGATTAGAACTATAAATCTTGAGAACGTGTATGGTTCGAGAAGATTGACACATAGTAAACATAAAGATTAGAACTATAAATCTTTAGAACGTCTATGGTTCGTGAAGATTGACGCATAGTAAACATAAAGATTAGAACTATAAATTTTGAGAACGTCTATGGTTCGAGAACATTGACACAAAGTAAACATAAAGATTAGAACTATAAATCTTGAGAAGGTGTATGGTTCGTGAAGATTGACGCATAGTAAAGATGAACATTAGAACTATAAATCTTAAGAAGGTGTATGGTTCAGGTGTTCCTGGAGGCGGGGTGCCTGGAGTGGAGTGCCGTGGTGAGTGTGGTGCTGCGAGACGCCCTCGCTGTGGTGAGAGTCGTCACTGCTGCCAAGGACGCTCCGCTGCCTTCCATAACACGTCTCGTCAACGGCCTGCACGCTCTCACGCTCTTCACACACACTCACTGGTCAGATCTTGTCTGCATTTTAATAATAGTGCATGATGTTTGTTGTGGTGACTTTGTGCCGCGCAAATGTTGAAAAAAATATAACTCAGTACTCACTGCAGTGAGTGACAGAGAGCGCATTTTCTCGTCGACGAAAACATGAAGTCACGGACGGACAGACAGACAGACGGGCGGACGGACATGACGAGCACAATAGTGCATTTTTTTTCATAAATGAGAAAATGCGCTAAAAAATGAGAAAATGCGCTTTATGTCCTCTTTGAACGATCGCATTTCGTGCCTTCGTTCCTTCCCGCCTCACACTCTAAGTGATTTAGGTACTAGTGATTTATGTGATGGATGTCCGTATTCAATCATTTATTAAATTTGAAGATTATTATGGACTATTTTATACCTTCACCTGCAGGAAAGATCTTCACCGACTTGTTTTTTGATGTCATTTATCTGCCAATTTGCAGTTAATTTCATCACATGCGATCTAATTCGAATTCGGTTCCTAATATATTACATTTTAAAAAGTTTTGGTCGTTGATTTTTGCATTCGATTATAATTTGGGAGATTTTGAATAGTTTTACGTTGTTATTGTCCGATATTTATTATTTCTATTTTCAAATCACGAATTTAAGAGCCCTCCATTTTTTACAGCTTGGGCTATCAGAACTTCATGGCAGCCATTACTCCGCAAGTGCGAGTTCTTGAATCAATCATCAAAAGTCGCCAAGAATCTCAGTTCTCAGTCAGCAGTCCGAACAACGCTCCTCGCTCCGTCCCCGCCAGCAACAGCTTACCGCCGTCCAAGAAGAAGCTGTTAGTCTATTCCTCTGACCCCGCAATAGAGAACAACAGTGCCGTCCAAACTGCCCGCGAGTCTGGCTCCCTTGGGGCGAATTCGTCCCATGAAAACGAGTCAAAAAGCACCGCTAGCAGCGAACGCTACAGCAAAACTCTCGGGCGCGTTAATTCTAAAGTCGAACGTGTAACTGAAGAGGAGGAAGATTCTCCACTTCATGCAGTGCAGCGTTCTGGCTCACGTAGTTCGCTGCACTCCAATCCTGAGGAAGGCAGTGCTTGCGTCATTTCGTAGAACTTCCTCGCTACGAAATAAACCTTTTTTTAACTTGAAACTTTTTGATAAAAACCACCTCAATGGTGTCCCGACTTTTTTTCATTAACATCGCAGGTTTTGGCAGCCGTTTCTTTCTATAACTTTAGTTATCTCATACACTCTGAGGAGACACTTCATGCTTTGCAAATTTATGAAGTGTGGGAAAACAACAAAATTTTTATGTTCTAAATTACCGTTCCTCTCATGCTTTTAGCCTAGCCGCTTAAAGACAACAGTGGAAGTTTGAATATACATGACCGTGGGTAATGCTGATGCATTCACTTGTTATTTTCTGTAGAATTAATATTTTTATACATGCTATGCTTGACCTGCGATTTGAATTGATTCTAACTTCTACGCATTCGATACTGAGATAAAATGCAAACAATACGGATATTGACGTTAAAATCGGCAAAATCCCATCCATCAATTATTCTACCCATGTTAGAGTATTTCTGTCAAGCATTTTCAAAGACTTGCAGTGCAGAAATGGCATGTAATCAACTAGCTTTGATTGTCGGAGAATTCCACTATGAGAAATCCAAGGACACTTTTTAAACATTGCTTGAACAACAAGAAATAATTAAGGCATGAATTCTGAGTTAGTCTTGACCTCTATTGGACCCATGCACTCCCCGTTGATATTCTTATTTATGGGCACTACATAAGATTGACGATTTTCATGTTCAAATTCGATAGCCGATATCTTTGATAGTGTTGGTGGACCACAACTCGCTCCCCTAATTGTTGAGCTTTGTTCTCATGCCAATAACGTCGTAGTCTATCGACGAAAACATCCTCTTGGGCCACTTTTCTCGTCAAGATTGATAAGACTTTCAGAAAGTGAAATTTCCATCGACCTGGTAAACATTCATTGCTTGATTGACTTTGGGTAACACTAATAACTCGCAGTTTTAATACGTGTGCCGATGTCTGTTGCTTAGATTATGTGTGCGAAATTGCCGATGTCTGTTGCTTAGATTATGTGTGCGAAATTAGATTTTTACAAAAAGACACGATGTGTGCTATGCTTTTGCGCCTCATGAAATAAACTATGCCGCTGATAGGACGTGGACAATACGCAAAAGTTTCATGCTTTTTATTATATAGATGCTAATTTATTTCTTCATCTTCAAACGGATGAGATCGTGGCAGCTAAAACATACTTGTTGTTTTCTACGCTGGTTGTGTGTACATGCGTAAGCTTTGCATTACATAATAGCGAGGGTTCCTCCACTGTACAGTTATGGGTGATGTAGCCTAGGTTTTTGTCCCTTGCTTGTAAGCTATTCGGTTATTTTTTGTGCTATACTATGAGAGCTGGACGAAGATATAATAGCTTACTTATTCGTGTAGTGTTGATGCTAGCTATTCAACGTACCGAGTGGGTAAGTTCAAAGGTATTTCATGGCTATATTTTTATAAACTTTGACTTCATCATGACATTTGATGCTTCAACGAAATGAATTCGTGAAAGAAGAGTTAATTGTAGTTCATCACTTTTTAATGTTTTCATGATTTACGGTTCGTTTCTTTCTACAGAACCAATGTTTTATCTCATTGCAGAGGCAACCGTTAGTCCGCACGATAGATTTTGTTTGAGACCACCAGTTAATATTTACACAATTTGTATCAATCATTTTAGTTATATAATTCAGGGCACTAGAATTGAACTTGTGCAGTTGACAAGTGAAATAAGTTAATTGTCCAGCTGCATTTTGTGTAAACTCCATTTATATAGTGTTCTAAGTTTTAACATTGCAGCCTGCTAGTTGTATTCGAGGTTCCAGAGCCTCGCTGTAAGTAGACATTGTTTGAATATTGTATTTTCACTTTTTATTAATGAATTTGTAAAGTATAACTTATTGTTAGTCAACTCCCAACTTGCACTTGTTCGTTCAGTAATTGAACTGGTCTTCCTGAGCATTTGTCAGCCAATTGCTTCACATTGTTGCTCCCCGGCCAAACTTTGCTCTGATTTTATTTTCTGTAATGTGGTCGAATTCTCAAAAATACGTTCGAATACCTCGTGTTCTGATCATAGAGGTGATAAGCGTATATACTTACGGTGATCGTAACTATTTTTGAAAATCTGACCTAATTGGATAAGCTCGGGCGAAAATTTTTGCTTGATCTTTCTTTGAGATAGAATGCTTGTAATAATTAGGCAATATTTATCAACATATATTTTATTTATTGTAGGGCCCTTAGAAATGAGCTAATTTCAGACGTTTGATCACATTTTGTGGTTTAAGATTATATTGAGGTTTTTTGTTCAGTTTTCTCGATCACATTAATCATTACAGGAAAACACCGCTCAATAAAATTGCCTGCTTTGTAATCAGCACCTTTCTGTTTCTAATAATGTAATTTGGGTGAACACGCTGAAAAATTCAACAAGATCGCTGGCTTCTTGTGTTGGTTTTCGCACTCATTGCTTTCAAATCGCGCCTTTTTATTTTAAAATTTGTCTTAGAGTTATTCGGTTGATTGGCTTGCGTCATTTTTTCCTAATGTGTATTGGTTCGGGTATTCAACTGACCAAGTTTAGAGTCAGTACTATTTATTGAGAATTTTTGATGTGTTTATTTTAGTAATACATTCCAAATGTGTAATTAGCATCAATTTTCGTTCGATTTCAAGCAGAAATCCATTAGTATTAGTAACCCTTGATATTGTTTGTGGTCGTATTTTGAGCTTATGTGGTTCTAAATATTAATGAAACATGGTAGTGAAGCAATACGTACTGTAGAACGAGTAGATTAATCGCTTTTCTGGCTGCCAGTAAACTTGGAACTTCAGGTATTTCATAGAATTGACGTGTCTCGTCTCGTTTAAATCGTTTCAAATTTGACTCGTTGTAAGAATCTTAGTGTTGCCTGCGTAACAGGCTTGACGTAATCCGGAAAATATTCTAGGAGCTTAATGTTCGCCTTTTGAGAGCGACTGTCTACTGAGTTGTATTTTCAACCAAGAGTAGACCTCTCATCGTCCTCGATTCGTCCATTTTTCGATTGCTCAGCTGTGGTGTAGATAGAATTATGCGTGTGTGTGTTGTGCCCTCAAAGCGTTTAATGTCGCTGGTTTTCTGCTCCTCATTCCATAACTTTGTTCCAACACTGGAGCTAAGTTCTCATTAGCGAATTCGAGAAAGTGGAATTTATGCAGTAATTGAAGCTGACATGACAATCGCAGAAGAGACCACCGAATTTAAGAAAAATCACACGAGTTGCTATTGACGCAATGAGCCTCGAGACTCGGCCTTCTGGGATTTGCGTTCTGATAGTTTCAGATGAGAATGCGTCTCCCTTCTGACACGAAAGTTTCAGACAAATCTATCAGATCATAAGCAACAACGTCCCAATTCTTGCACTCATTTTGTTTTGAAACTGTTTAATTCAATCAATAACGCGTGCCAATTTTCGTTTACAATTGATTTGTTCTGAAAGGCTTTGTATTGGCGTGGTGAACTGGTATGGTTTTATGAGATGAATGAATGGAGCTACGAACTGTCCAGGTCTGCGAGTATTTAGTGAGAAGACGTAAATTTTTACCAAAAAGACTAAAATAAACGCACTCTAGCACCAAGGCTGTATTGTCGGCTTGTACGGTAAAGACGTAATTTTTCCAAACCGACAATGAAGATCATGTCATACGTAATTTGCCTGAGCATTCATAAGTTTTCACTGCATGTGGGTGAATTTTATTTTATTCATCATATTCGATGCAATTCGTTGAACAATTTTAGTCATATTCTTTGTAATTATATTGCTAAATTACGGATCAATGTTGAACCTGCAAGAGGGAATTTCTTATCGGCAAGGAGGAATGCATTCATCATCCAAGTTGAGAAGACGAATCGTTTTCAAAATCCTCTGAAAATTTTGTGTACAACTGGCCTTGCTATTTCATGAACTGCCATGGCTTTGGTATGTCATGAACGTGGCAACTGACTTCTGCAGACATAAAGGAATTCTGCAATGCAACAACTCGTCGTGAATCTTCAATCATGAGTAGTAGTAGTAGTAGTAGTAGATTTACTACTACTTACTTCAATCATGCAATTCGATCACAGCGTTACCGTAACTGTATGACGCAATTTCGGGATAATTACAACTTATTTTCAGGAGCGCATGCAGAACTTAACTTTGAATGAGATATGTGTTAGCGTTAAGCGGGAACGATCTGCGAGTTTTTTTTCTTGCAGTAAAACGAGCCGCACTGTAACGTCCCCTGCCAAATGAAGATGAGACCGTAGCGCTGAAGTGTCGAATTATCTTGTCTTTTTTTTCAGTGCTTCATAGTGGGTGCCAAACTGTTGCGACTAATTTATACAATTAGAAAAGTGTGCATCTAAGAGGTGTAAAGCCTTATTTTGTATCAATCATCCCCTGTATGAGTACATGGCCCAATGAATTGGTTTTCATTCCTACTTCCTGCCTACTGCAAGGCGAGTCATAGATCTATAATTCAGGGTAAAAATATTTATTTGAAAACTGCGGTTAAAAGCGAAGAGCAGTAACTTGTCTAAGATTTAATCTCGCAAAATATGGTGGCATTGCGGTAAACCGAGAGAACTATAATAGCAACACCACAGGTTAGCAGGAACAGTGAAACGCAGAAGACAATAAGAAAGAGGTGGCGATAAGCAGTCTTAGGATGCAAACAGTGATTGCAATAATGTTGTTCCAATGCTTATTTTTTCGCGCTACTAATGTTAACCAGGAAAATCGCTAAAAAAAATTAGCCACCAACTATTTTGACCTTTTGAAAAATTGTTCGATTATTCGACCGCAGTTATCCGCAAAAAACTCAGACCTGAAGACTCGAGTATGACCATGAACAGGTAAGATCTATATTGCACTTTAGACTAATGCACAACATAAAGGACGGGAATGGAAGAGAGAAGCATCGGCAGATCGCCATAATTAAATAATATTCTAGATTCGTAGAGAAAATTCGATCACACGTATATTAATTAAATTAAGTTCACCATCTAGTTACATTATTCGGTAATGCGAGGAAATCGTGACAGAGTTTTCTAATTAAAAAATACTTATAAAAATACATTAGAACCTGTATCAGTGATCGTCCAGAGATCCCTACGGATTGTGTCGTGTGTTCTCCTAAAGCATGACATTTATTTTTAGCACCAGTTAATTGTCAGTTTGTACCTACGTGATTAACTAACCATGAGAACTTTAACTATGAAAAACATGAAAGGATCAAGTATATCAATTTTCGTAAGGGAACATAAAAAAGTTGGAAAAGTTAACCCTCGAGCGGCAGAGTAACTTGCAGCCATGTCGCTGTTGATATGATAAGAGGCCTTAACTCCTTCCACATTATCTAAACAAAAATAACTTTAACCCACTATACTGTCGAACAGTTCTTCAACGTTAACAGTTCTGAGGTCAAGCGACTCATTAATACTAGTCTCGAGTTTGTCTCTCACAAACTATGAAGTTCCTTTAAAATCAAATTACCAGTGTAAAAAAAAACGCTCCGCAATTTCATTATAAATCACCGACATAAACAATAAGAACTGTATTCTTTGAGCTTATTAACGGTCAATAAAACCTGTTACTACCTATGCATTTTTAGTCTAGATTCGAATGTTCCGAGGCATGCGGTAGTGACAGCGACTCCCCTTTCATTAACATTTTACTTAAGTTGAACAAAGCCAGAAGCAAATGCTCGATCGCAACCTGCATCCCGCGATCGGCAGGTAAACTTATCGGGCAACTTCGGATTTTAATACAATATAGTTATGAGTGTTACTTTTTGTAACAAGTGAGAATTGTGTCAAAGTAACACTGCGAGCAATCTATCAGTGAACGTTCGTAACAGGGATTGGATCGTATAAACTTACATTTATAGCGTCGCGAGAAGGTAATGACGATAATCCAGGCACTTCGAGGCATAACTAAAAACACAGACACCTTTTGAGAATTCCTGTAAGAAGGGAGTTTCCTGGTTCAGCTAGCAATCTTCGCCGACTATCGTCAGAGTTAACTTGTGTGCCGGCCATTGGAAAGTCACTGGAACCTTAACCTGGAAAGTAAAAGAGTTATAGAATGGATGATGTAGATTTCAGATTGAAATTTCAAATAGATCATTAACCTAGTGGCAAAGTCTGAACCTTCGTTCAGGTAGCGCGGAAATTCTCATTTCTTCAAGGAATAGCGCGCACTTCTTACTCCTCGACCCGTAGACGATCAATGCAAACACAGGATTTCAGAGACAGGTTTATCATCAGTTCCACCAATATGGATACGGAAAATAACCATGAACGTAACGGGATGAAAACAATCCATGTTTATACGTCAAATACGCCCTAAATCATACGGAAAGTATTTCAAAATTGATAGGAACTTGAGGTGCATGCATAGAAGCCAAGAGTCCTGACCTCATCAGGATCGGCGAGTCCGGCGAGGTCGGCGCTCATCAGTTCGATGAGGTCATCGGGTATGAGGAGCTGAAGCCAGGGCCCTCTCACTGCGTACGGTGATTCAGCAGATACAAACGCCCCTGCAATTAAAAAACTATATCTCCACATTCACTTCAGGTGAACCAATAGAAGCCATTTTCAGTCGTATAGTTTTACAAAACATTTTTATTATTTGTAACTTTTTCATTGGCATAAGGCGTGGCAAGCTACTTATGCCACTTAGTGGCTTAGGTCATGTTTGGTCAACTCGCATCAAATGAAATCTGACACAAGCATCAAACTCTTTATAAATTTAAATACTGTTTGTTGTGGACTAGTGAAACCATATAATCATATACCTACCATGAATAAGTATAATAAATCCAATGCATGATTACTGACCGCTCACACCCGGGGCAATGAGCGTCAGCGCTGCCGACCCCAGCACTGCCTTGAACGTGAAGTGCCGCCCGTGCTTCAAGCGCCCTCTGTACGTAAACATAAAATTGATTTTCCAGCTAAAATATTCACATGACCAATGTTTTTTTTCAGGCGCTACTCTTATGTTTGAATATTCATTCACAAGTTTTATTAGGGTCAAAGTATCGCCAAAACAAATTCAAACAACAATTCATGATATTATAAATGCATCATATTCTTTAGCAGAAATCATTATTATCGCTGGAAAATTTTTAATAATTGCGAAACTAAAGAGGAAGTGTATTATTTCATATCTCGATGCAAGGTGTAGAGTTTTAATGATACCTGAGCGCGAGAGGCAGCAGTGCGCCGGACTCCAGGTTAATGGTGACATGCACGCTCTCTAGACGCTGAGTCTCAAAAAGCTCTGCAGGCACAGCGCCACTGCAGGCTGTTCTCTGTTTCTCTTCTGTACTGTAAACATTCAACAAACGTAATTATGACGTAAATAAACGATCTTTTTTTTCAGGTTGGCAGATAACCAAAATCTTTGTTGAGACCACAAATCAATGATGTTTCTGGAAACTGAAACAACAGCGAGAGTTGTCTCTAGAATTATGATTTTGGGTAAATTGTCTTGAATATAATACTGAAACTAAATATTAGCAAGAGATTATTAGCTCAGTAAAAATCCGAAGACATAATTAATAGAGAAGTATGATTCAGAAATTATTCCAGGATGTTATTAATAATTTAGTGCAATTGTGCTCACTCAACATTTTGCTCGCTTTCCTCTTGTTTTGGTTCACTCTTAATGAGCGGTAAGTCTTGACCAGAGTCAGAGTTGTTTTCTTTCTTCACTGTGATGGAAGGACTGTCGACTGATGCCAAGCTCCTGTCCTGAGCTCTCTGTAAATAATGACGCGTTATCAGACAATGCAGCAGGCGAGAATGCATCCTTTATTGATGAATAGACACAGATTTCACTTTAGGTGCAATAATGATTCACAAGTTATGGAGTAAATGTGTACAAATAAAGTACAAGTAGTGAATGTTTTTTGGTTAGCTCAGAAATAATTCAATTAGTATGCAGATCTTTGAATAGATTCTGTAGATTTATTACCAGGCAGGAGTTGAGTGTAACGTCAGGTTGCATAACCCAAGATATTCTCGCCGAAACTCCAGAAAGATTCGAGCCAGTACTTTCAATGCCAGCCTCAACCTCTTCTGCAACAGCTGGGTCTAGTTCATAGACGCTCTCTCCACGTCTCATGTCAGTCACGAGCCACGGGCCTCCAGTTCTGAAAATCACAAAATTATACCTAACGTAATACAAAAATTTACTATGCAATCAGTATGTGGCTTTACCCATGAATTCAAGTACTCTTTGCACTGAGATGCAAATTGAAAGCCCAATCCAAATTATGTTAGGTAAAAATTTAGAGCAATGCTGAGTACATGCACATTAATAATTCATTGACATATGGATCATTAAATAAAGTCACGTAAAACAGATGGATCATCTATGAAAGTCACTATAGACAGATGGTTCATCTATGGAAGTCACTAGAGACAGATGGATCATCTAGGGAAGTCACTCAAGACAGATGGATCATCTATGGAAGTCGCTATAGACAGATGGTTCTCCTATGGAAGTCACTAGAGACAGATGGATCATCTATGGAAGTCACCAAAGACAGATGGATCATCTATGAAAGTCACTAAAGACAGATGATCATCTATGAAAGCTGTGGAAGTCACTAAAGACAGATTTATGGATCATCTATGGAAATCACTAAAGACAGATGATCATCTAGGGAAGTCACTAAAGACAGTTGGATGATTTGGATCATCTATGGAAGTCACAAAAGACGGATGGATCATCTATGGAAGTCACTACATAGAAATGACACACTTACACAAGGGATCTTTTGAGAATTGCAAGAACCCCTGCTCCATTCCAGTGCTGCACTGCACGCAGCTCTTCACTAGTGATCCCAACAACCTGCACAAACTGTACGTTGCCATTAGGAGTGCGCACCATCCCCAGACAAGGATCCTCAGCCATGAGCATGTGCTGGAGTCTAGACTCACCACCATCCAGAGGCGAGTTCCAACTCACGTGATCACCAACACATAACGTGCTCTCTGAAATATAAGGAGACAATTACAAATAAGATGCAGAAATGCCAATATTGATCAAATTATTGTTGCAAGACCAAACAATGCCACAAAATACATCCTCATTCTACATATTAGCCATTAGTATATAGTATTACTGGCATATTATACATTTCATTCATCTGCAAAACACTATTGTACTGAAGAATTCTACAATACTAGTGTACTGATGAATTAACCAATACTAGTGTACTGATGAATTAACCATAAAAAATATCCAAGGTATTTAGGAAGAAACTTACCAGACTGGAATACATATTTGGCAAGGCCTTGCATGATGGCAGCAGGCCATGTTGGAGGTCCTTTATCTGTGGGTTCTTTCTTGAGCCTCATTGTGAGTTCAAAACCAAAGCCACTAACTTTGTCTGGACCAGTGAACTCATGGACTCTCCCATCACCATGGATATCAGATAAACCAAAGCTGTTGATGAAATAAATAACTAGATAAGAATGAAAGATAAACATTTGCTCTCATAATTACCAACAACATACCATGCTTAGCTCACATATTACTCAAATGTAATCTGAGGAAAATGGGATTATTTTCATAACTTCTTCCTGAGATTTGATGACATAAAGCTGCCTCTATATAAATAAACATTTTGACAGTTTGCACAATATATGGGTTGAAATACCTATACTAATTAAAAAAGTAAATAAATTATGAACTACATTACGAGCCAAAGAATCTTCAATAACATGAATAACATTACATTTTTTCCAAATACTGTAATAAATCCACAGAAATTTTCACGAGCTATGGCAATGTGTGACTTTAAGCTATTGAGAACAAGGTAGAGACATACCTGATATAATGCCAATGTGGAGGAATCTTCAACTTATCATTTCCAGGCACATCATACATACTGATGTAATCCAGAGGATCAGGACCACCCAACCTGTAATGAGAGGTGGTTGTCTTAAATTCAAATAGGATCATTAGATTAACAAATAAAAAATATAAATCTGCATCCTGCCTAAATCCTTATTTGCTTGCTATTAAGCAACTTTATAGCAAGCAAATAACTCATGACTATTTGGGGCTCTAAACTTTAGAGCTGTCAAGTCCTGATCAATCATTCTTTGATAGAAACAAGCATAGTATGCATAGTGGTATACCAGAGATTTTTTAGAATCAGTTCATTTTTAATTTCCTCATTTACTCAATAGGTATTTAAACAAAATTTTTATGTATGATAATGCTGGTACCTACCCATGATACTTTACTGGTCTACTTATAGTAGGTACTCAAATTGAACTTGAGGAAGAGTTTAAAAACCTCTGGACTCTGGTTTGCCACTATGAAATTTACAGAGGTGGGCAGTAGCGCGCTACATGTAGCGGCCGCTACATTTTCAGTAGCGGTAGCGGCTCTACATTTAAGGCAATGTAGCGGTAGCGCCCGATACATATTTAAGTAGCGATACGAGGTTTTGCCGCTACAGTGCTACCACTACTTTTTTAGATAAAGCCTTTAGATTTTACTTAAGGGGACCAGCTACCCTCCAACAAAACTTTTTTGTTTACAGACGGATCGTTTTGAAACTTGGTACACATATGTAAAACAGAAATCTAAGACCTTTTTATTCATGTAATTTTAAAAAAATGAAAGAAAACATGGAATTAATAGAAAACGGCAAATAAGGGGTACTCTAAAAAGTTTACAACTTTTGCAAATCACATGCTACAATGTCGAGACACATATCATTCGATTTGTAACAACAATATCTAGCGACTGTAGAGCCCTGATTTTATATTTTCCTTATCGTTTTTTTTATTCGCGTTCTTCCCATTTTTTTCACATTTTTACCTCCCCCCTCCCCCTCCCATATATAAGTCAAACCATGCACATGTTAAAAAAAGGCTTCTAGAGTCGCTAGGTATTGTTTTTACAAATCTAATTGTATGTCTCTCATTGCCGTAGCTTAAAAACTGTTGGAGTTATAAGTTTTTTAAGATGGCGTTTTTTGGATTTTTGAATTGTTCAGGGGAGCCAAATAAAGTAAAATTCATCGAAAACAGAAGAATATGCCCAAAAAGTCTTGATATTGTAGCCCAAGCTTTCCCATTGCCAATTATTTGCATTCAGGGTACCAGCATGCCTCTTTAGACCTATTTATGTTCAATTAAACGTGAATAATAGGCTATAAATGGGACTTTTTACATATATATAAATATATATATATAAAATACCGTAAAATGGGGTAACTTAGACCACTTTTTTTCTATAAATGATGCCATTTTTTTACTAGCTAAATTAAACTTGAATTGAAACATGCAAAATACAGGTCTATACTCTAGCTTCACTCACCATAAATTGCTGGCTCCTGCCTCTCATAGTCTTTATGTAAAATATAGGGATTTGGTAGGTTTCCATTTTTAAGGCTTTTTAATAAATATGGCAACATTTTGTGACGTTTCATCGTTGCTGACGCGTAGTGAAGTGTTTTGAGAGTCATGTGAAGGCAACAGAACTTACGTAACGCATACGGTTTTTTTTATAGTTTTTCATTTCTCGATGCGTCCAGCAGTGGTGCGTCCTTAATGTGTCGGAATATACCACGTTTACCCTAGACCTAGACCAGTAAAGTATCCTGGATAGTGGATACCTGCATAATCATACACAAGAAATTGGTTTAAATCGTGAATAAATGAGGAAATTAAAAATGAACTAATTCTAAAAAATTCCTAGTTTGTCACTATGAGCTACATTTTACTGTAGCGGTAGCGCCCATTACAATCTAGTGGATCACTGTGGATGTAGCGGTGACGGTAAGGCTACAGACCGCAGAGTGCCAGCGAATAAAAGAAAACATTAAAAAATTAGACTGTGATAAGACAAAAATGCAATAATTTCATTTTCTGCTCCTAATCCTATTCCTTTGGCCATTGTCCAATTTCTATATCAGCCACACTGCTATGAATATTTTAATTCAAGACTCACCAATATTTAACTAAAGCTGTCACTTGAAGAGGGTTTGGCTGATCAGGATACAGATTTGTACATGCACAAAACAATGCTTGAAGACCAGCTGGAACAGTACTGTCAGCAATGATATTACCATTTTTCACAGCATCCGGGCTTTCAATCTCTATTTTACTAGGAGTATCACCGTTTGACGGTACTTTTCCCTCCTTCCATTCCATATCTTGGCACTCCATAGTCAAAAATTTTCTTCAATGAATTTGTGTAGAGTTCTAAGACACACACCGGTCAAACCCATCGGGGCATGATCGGGCCATCAAGAAGAGACGAACTACTTCACCAGACACCATTGAGGTGAAAATAGAATTTATCGACGTCATGAATGTTTTGACCAGTTATTTATAGACGATCATAAAAGATAAAAACATAACTCCGATATATTCTCGAGAAACTGCTTTAGAAAAGTTACAAAAAAATATTACATTTCAAATTAAAAAGTGAGCCATTACATTTATTTGCGGTTTTCCAGAAATTAATAATATAAACACATAGTATAGTATCTTTGGCATTGAAGAATAGGCCTGTCACAGATTCTTGTACTTTTCTTGGCTAGACTGGCCTTTTGATCAAATCTTTTCATCGGACGGTAGATTTAAATCGTTTCTAGATTTCAGTTGTTCCGTAGGATACGAGGCATTTTAAGACTAAACATATGCTCCTGTATGGCATTGTCTAATCTGTTCTTGCGCGCGTTCATACTCGGAGCGTCAACAATGTCTTCAGGGAGGCTGTTCCTCATGTCCGTGACTCGAAGCGAGAAGAAATGTTGTCGCGTGGATAAGTTGCACAGCAGTTTTTTTTAGTTTATAGCCGTGGCCCCTGGTGTTGGTTTTTGTTTCAAGTTTTAGTAATCCTTCTGGGACCTTGTACAAACCATGAGTATAATTGGATACTTCAATGAGGTCACCACGCAGGCTACGATAACGGAGACTGGGAAGCTTCATAATCTTCAATATTTCTTCAAAAGACTTGCCCTTTAAGCCTGGAATTATCCTTGTTGCACGTCTTTGAACACTCTCAACTAAATTTTTGTCCTTTTCAAGACTCAATCGACAATTGTACGGACCCGCCAGCGGACTCGCGCAACTGGGACACTCATAATTCCTTAAATACTAAACGGATCTGTATGAATCTTGGAATGCGAGTATTAATGATCGATACGCTGCCGCAGGAGTTATTACAGATTTTTAAATGAATTATTTTTTAATTAAAACCAATAAACGTATTTTTTAAGCAACTGGGACACTCATAATTCCTTCAATACTTAACAGATCTGCTCGAATTTTGGAATGTGAGTATTAATTATCGATACGCTGCCGCATGAATTTTTGCAGATTTTTAAACGACTTATTATTAGGAAGTTAGGTTAGGTTAGGAAATAATTCATGCAAAAATCTGTAATAATTCCTGCGGCAGCGTATCGATAATTAATACTCACATTCCAAAATTCATGACGAGCCGTTAAGTATTGAAGGAATTATGAGTGTCCCAGTTGCATAAAAATACGTTTGTTGGTTTTAATTAAAAAAAAATTCATGTAAAAATCTGTAATAATTCCTGCGGCATTGTATCGATAATTAATACTCACATTCCAAAATTCATACAGATCTGTTAAGTATTTAAGGAATTATGAGTGTCCCAGTTGCGCGAGTCCGCAGGCGAGTCCGTAGAATTGTCGATCGAGTCTTTTCAAGTCTCGGTGACTACACAACGTTTCCAAACTCTAGGTTCGGGCGCACGACAGAGGTGAACAACAGCTTCATTATTTCTATATTTAGGTACTCACTCGTAGGAGCGTCTGATCAGCCCAAGCAGTTTATTGGATTTATTAACTTGCGTTTCAATATGCCTAGAAAATTTTAGCTCCTTGACTCGAAGCGAGAAGAAATGTTGGCGCGTGGATAAGTTGGCCAAAAAATACTCCCCTCTACCGGTCCCCATCATTTCATTCTGTTCTGACAAGCTTACTCCTGATGGCTGGACTGGATTAACATTGGCTTCTAATTGAAAGGGTAATCTAGCTTCCGTTCGAATGTTTTGTCTACTGTTAAACGGGTTGCCAGTGGCTCTAGTCGCGCTGCAGTAATAGTTACAAGGCTTCGTTTGCCATAATATTGTGTCGTCATACGTCATCGATTCTGACATTCCCTCATGACAGCATTGTGAGGTGAACATAGAATTTTTATTTCCCTCGTAGAGCATTCTCTCCTAGAGCGCTGCAGTTAGCTTCTGGCACTAAGCCTTAGCATCTAAGCTTTGTGCTTTCCATATTTATCTGTTCGATACATCTTAGCGACGGCAAGTACTACAGAAACATTAAAAATGTAATTTAACGAGTGCTCCATTGAAATTCCAGCCCAAAGCCCATGCCAAAATGTGCACACTTGTGACTTGACCACGACGGCTGAAAGCACGGTGTTTACCTACAAACCTCATATTCAAATACAGAATACCGAGACGGTAGATTTATTATCTACGAAGCATACGTTATCACGCAATGAATTAGTTAAGTGAATTTCTCACAGAATTATGGTGACAGGCCATAAAAAATAGATAAACTTCTATCAAACACGAAATAAACATTTGCCAGACACTCGTTCGTTCAACGATCGTACACGCACACCAAATATTTTCTATCAGTTTCCTAGATGCTGACATAGATTTTCTGACAGACTGATTCCTAAAATTTTGGTGTACACGGAAGGGAAATAGCCGGTAGAAATGTACTTCAAGCTTTATTCGTATTTTTTTGCCGTTTAACAGGTCGTTTGATATTTGTAGACATGATACTTCGTTTTGCATGCTCGACAATGTTTCTCTTGATCACAGCGACAGGAAGCACGACATCACTACTGATTACCGCCTTTGTTGTGTAGGAACTTCTCTGTTTGGTTAAGGTTTGTCGTCTACGCCGAGCAGCACAGAAGAGAAGATCGGCACACACGCGAGACAAAGCGGCGTGCGCCTGTTCCTCGGACAGTCCCATGAGTGAGCAAAAGCCTAAAACGTCACGAGGTGAACGAAGGCAGGCAGTTTCAGATGAACCACAGCTCACAAAAACGTGGCGACCGCGCACAGCTCTCACAACGCTCTGGTTAAGGCGGATGCTTGATTGACGTGCCGTAGAAGAGCTGGAGCCCACACACGGATAATACAGAAGCTGGGGAGAATGCAATATGAGTTTCAAACTTAGACAGCAAATGCATCAAGTAATCTGCACCTGTCCATTTTGAACTCGTGTTAATAAAGACTGAAAGAATATGACTGACAATAAATTTTGTAACAAATAAAACGCTAGGTACGTAATGACACTTCAATAAATATTTTATGCTAAAGAAACTAATTTATATACTTTCCTATCATCAAGCATAACATCCAACTAATTGCCAATACAATTCTTATCAATTAAAAACGACAGACATTTCACATTTATAAAAGTTATAAGTTAAGTTATAAAGCTACCATTACCTCAACGAAGGTGTCATTCATGGGAACAGTGGACAGACGTTTCAGTGCATCATTCCCGATCTCAGTATAGCCATCAATACTGATGATGTCAGGACTAACGCCCAACTGGCAACACTGCAATAAAATGAAACAAATCAGTAGATATTGTACAACCATCAGGACATTGTTGTCAGCATTAGACCATTGTTAGAAAATTTTTTGTGCTGCTGCAAGTACTGCTTTTGCCAATAGCAAATATTCACAAGTAGGGATAGCAATGTTATAGATTCTAATGCAAAACTGACCAATTTCATGTCTTCAAATTATATTAGTGCAACTGATTCAGCTAAATTACCTGAATCAAAGCAGCATCTGTCATTGGAGTCAAAGCAACAATGTCGTACATAGATTGAGCAGCTGCCACCAACTCTCTTATATTATCTTGCTCAGTCCACAAAGTGATAGTTAGACGATATATTATTTTGGGAGCAGAACAGAGCTTGTGTTTCTGCAAATCAGGAGAAGTGATTTGTAGTTTAATGGGAGATGTTAATACAAGTTCATTCTTCATTTGTTTTTTCTCTGAAAAAAAAAAAAAAAGAATGTAGACCATACAGTACTTTTGAGAAGAATGAATTCATGAGTATATTCATGAATTTGTTATTATATTACAAATATTTAATAAACAAATTTACATAAATATTAAAAAAAAAAATTTCTACTGAAGTGGGAAAAAATAATCAAGCCACCATTACAATTGCATTGAATTCACTATAACAGACACATTACCCAATAAATAACCACACAATATACAGAAAAGGACTGAAAATTTTTGAAAAAAATTCCCTTACTGTGATTTTAATGAATGACTTACTTGATTTCTTGGCCATTTCATTTGAGTGACCAATAACTGTGTTAACTGCTACAACATCATAGCCTAAAATTGCTGCCTCCAGAACAGCATTCTTTACATTTTTGGACCCTGAACATATATTCAGCTCAAAATATTTCCTACGCTTTGTGTCTAACATCATACTAAAAACTATGCTCTCTGGAAATAAGATGAATGGAAAATGATAAGAAACATCAGAATCAGACATTATACAATCTGTCAAAAATAGTAAAGTTAACATAGCTATTTGAAAATCTTCCATTAAAAATACAAAAGAAGCAGAGCAGAACAATGAAGATTTGCAAGAGAAATACATGGTGCCAGCCAATAATTGACCATGATTTAGCTATCAAGTTCCTGATAGACTTGACAGGATGGCTCACACGGGAAAAGCAGAGTATGTTGACATGCAGGAATTAGGTTGTAAGGTTACAAGTAGACTCCTGCGTCTCGAAATAATTTTCTCGAAATGAACCGGGACAGACGAAACGAGACGAGAAAATTCCGGGAAAAAAATAACGGGACAGAGGGTAAAATTTGTCCCGGAATAAACGTATGAACCGAGACAAGACTTCTGTCCCGGACTTTAAAACTTGTGTCCCGGTAAATTATGAACCGGGACGAGACAGACAGATTTGAAACGAGACATAACGAGACGAGACGAGATTTGTCTTAATTATTCAAGACAAAACAAGTTTTTCGATTACGATACGAATCATTTCGAAAACATGGGTTGAAGAATGACAAGTTAGCCCTTTATTGCTAATAGGACCATAGACAGTTACCAGTTAAATTGAGTTAATTGCAGATTTAGCAAAATTTGTCTGACTAACTGACATGGGGGCGCAGCCATGCACCACCAATTTTGTGCACCAATATTGTCCAATAAGCCCTAAATCGAACGCCTTGGATCTATCCGGACATCCACCAATCAGCTGTGAACCACTCGGCTTTGTCTTCCTCCGGCCTCGCATAGAACCTGCCGTGCACCACCAGGCTGCGGATCGAATCTGACTTCCGGGCATCGTTACATCATATAATTTTACGTTCACCGCATCTGAGGTTAGGTTTCAGATAGCATAGTTCTGTTCCAAAATTTATCGTCCTTCGACAAGTGGTAGTTCGACCGAGGGCTGGTTCGGCCCACGGCCTAGATACGGACGACTTGAAGTGCTGAAGGCAACGTTCCGGAAGGCAGGAATCATGATGGTCCATTACATCCAGAGCAGTGGTGGTCTTCGGCAGGCGACCCACTGACATGGCAGTTAATTAGTGGTCCGACAAACACCGTAAACCTGTCGATGTATGCATGGCTGAGTATTGAGTCAAAAATGTTACTCTTAAGTCTTAACTAAGGCTTCGATGGCACTTATGGTAACCATACGAATATGAGTCGAATTTATTACGCGTTCAGAACGAGTTCAGGCGCCATGGAGCGCATAGGGTAGTAGGGACGCAGTGTCTAGATTAGTCGGCCAATTAGTAGACAGTGGAGTGGAGTCCTGGTAAGATATTCCTAATAATACTAAAGCTAGTATTAGATTATCTCTGCCTTTAGTAAATTTTGTGCTATGCCTCCAGGAAATCTTCACAATTGCGCAGTTTCCTGAATTGTTATCAAACACTTGGGCTTGTTTAACGTTATTTAGAAATGATTCACAAGGTTATTTCGAGTTCTTTTTTGAAGATATTTTAAACTATTTTTTTTAACTATTCTATTTTTCAATGAATCTGATTCTGTGATTGAGCTGGAGGCAAATCAAAGTCTGTCCAGTCAGCCGATGTCACCAGCTACAGCTAGTATGGCCTCCTCCAAACCATCATAGAACACAATTTTTGAAAAAAATGTGTTTTTCCATTTTTATTTGCTTGTCAAGATTAAGTACCATACTAAACCACAACATGTATTCGTAGCAAAAATCATTTCAATTGCCGAGGTCCAATCAGAATAGTAAAAGGATACGTCTCAAGTTATTATATAAATGCAGAGGTTGGCAGTAGCGCGCTACATGTAGCGGCCGCTGCATTTTCAGTAGCGGTAGCGGCGCTACATTTAAGCAATTGTAGCGGTAGCGGTAGCGTCCGCTACATTTTCAAGTAGCGATACGAGGTTTTGCCGCTACAGCGCTACCGCTACATTTATAGATAAAGCCTTTAGATTTTACGCAATAGTATTAAATATTATTTAAAAACCAGCATGATACATAAATAATATAAATTACAGAATAAAACTGTACGAAAGATTTCAGTGTAATGTTGTCAACCTCAGCCTGTTACTAGTGTCAACATGTTTGTTGTTAGTCCAGAGGTGGGCAGTAGCGCGCTACATGTAGCGGCTGCTACATTTTCGGTAGCGGCGCTACATTTAAGCAATTGTAGCGGTAGCGCCCGCTACATTTAGAGCATGTAGCGGTAGCGGCCGCTACATTTCAAAGTAGCGCTGCCCAGCTCTGTATAAATGTATGAGAGTAANGCTGAAAATTGTCCCGGTTTTTATTGCGAACCGGGACAGAGCCTGTTGTCTCGTCTCGTCTCGGATAGAAAAAAATAGCAAACGCAGGAGTCTAGTTACAAGCAGAAGAAAGTTCCCTGCTGTTAAAAAAACCTTGACTCCAAATTCTCAGTCTGAACAAATTTGGTAGGTGCTCGTTTCTTTCAAGTTAGTAGTCCTTGCCAGCACTTCTCTGCTGTAAACAACTCCCTCTCTAGAATACGTATTCTCACATTTTGTTTTTCTGGATTTGGCATTATTTTGACCTTGCACAATCTGCTGTACTACAGCTAAGTTTTTGCAGTGCCAAGAATGGAGAATTAAAATTTTTACCATTGGTACTTAGTAAGAGGAACCACAGCATTTCTTACGTTGATGTTAAATTTGATGCATTAAAATTTAACTAGTATACCGTCAACCGGGGCAACTCGGGACTGGCGGGGCAACTTGGGACGCACCTCCGACATGGCGTAAAACTGTTATAGTAGCGAAACTAATTGGAATATTGCAAAACTAAATATAGTGGCGTAAACGTCAACATTTTTCCTATCTATGTAGTATAAAGGCAGTCGAAAAATACGACATTTACTAGCTTTGAAAAATTCCTGAAAACAAGTAAAAATCACAGAAAATGTCATTTATTCTACCTCTACATCATCTACAATGAAAGAGGCAGACTTCAGAGTACTGTTAGTAATGGATGAGTATGCTCTGCATGCTTCAAGTGTTTTAAAATGAAGTTTCATTCCCAGTGTCCCGAGTAGCCCCGTTCGACGGGTCTACTCGGGCCACTCTTTTTTTGCTTCTGGCACCTTACGAATAGCATATGGAATTTTTTTGAAGATGCCATTCGATAGCCCTCGCAAAGAGCTATAAAATGAGCCTAAACTTGCTTATGAAATGTTTCATCGTAAGAAGTTATTAACAAAAAACGCTCAAAACCGTCCCGAGTAGCCCCGGTTGACGGTATACATGGTTTGCATGATGCTATTGAAATAATGATTAAAAATACAAAAAATTACTCATTTCATTGTCATCAAGCTGAAATTGAAGGATAGAAAACAAAACCAAGTGGGTGAGTCTCAATAACTTCATTATTAATATTTGTAATATTAATGGGAGCCTAGAGAGGTGCATTGGAGCCTAGAGAGGGCCCAGATGCATTGTATGCAAGATTTGTTGGCAAGAAAATAGTTTCTGTCTAAATGATCATTAAGTTTATATATAACAGTACTGAATCACTTATCCAAAATGTATTTTAGTTGATGAAAAGATCATCAGACACACACACTTCTTCAATTATTGATTATTTTTAGCTCTGGAAGGTCAGTTAGCTCCCATGGCAGAATTAACAGTTAACTGGCACAGGACAGCAACCATGATTGGATGAAAATGTTTAAGACATTCGCAGCAATTCTGGAATGAAATATGCATCACTGATTATTACACATATATAATGTAGGGCAAATACCGATTATTAGTATATGTAGAAGACCATGACACATATAAACTAGCCCTAATGAAAAAATCCTGATAATCCACAAAGGTTTGAGCTATACCAACTGACTCATGACAGATGAACTCATATTGCCTGACTCAAAAATGTTGCTACCTACTTTTAATTCTGTATATAGTATTATGTGATATAATGTTTCTAAAGTCATTTATATCATGAAATAATTTGCCTGGTTCCAAATGGAACCGCTCAGCAGTAGTGTTTAGCAATCTGGTCATCTCATTTTCTCAGTTGATTACTTTGTGATATAGTTACGCATTGTATTTCAAAAACTTGTTTGTAATTAGAAATCATTTATTTATATCTTAGATCTATAGTTTTTCTGTTATTTATTAGTGAACTATTATCTTTATAGCTGTTAGGAGTATATATCCCAAAAGTTGAAATATTAGGAAGTAGGTACGTTGCACACTATACAATTTTTCATCCCGAGTCCCTTTTTTCTAATTGTATTTTTGGCAGATCTTTGCATGAAATAATTGAGATTTTGAACAAAGAATAGCACGAAGATAAAATATTTGTTACTTAATGTCTCACAGAAGCAGCAAAAGACGAAACAGACTGAGATTCAGATAACTCAGATGACACAGCCACTAGCAATTCCACTCACCTATCAATGATAGTCATTGTAGCAACAGTAATCACCAAATGTGAAAACAATGACTATCAACAGAGAAGAAAGTCAACTGAGGTCGACATGGCCACCCTATGCTACGACATATACGTGGCTAGCTCGTGAGATCTAGTTATAAACATTGGGCAGCAGATAAATCAGATATTTTTTTACAATTGAAGCCAATCGGAGAATCTAATACAAAAAGAAACTTATTCATGGGCTGGAACATGGATTGGTCCCATAAACATGATACAATTGGTCCCAGGCCAACACTTTATATGTGATATCTATTTTGGTTTAATTTGGCTTCTCAAAAAACGTTTGAAAAAAAAAGAATGGCTATTGCAAATAATTTTCAAAAAGATCGGTTAGGAAAAGCAATAATGCATGAGACCCTAAACAAAATAATCAGGGTCTATAGTGCACCCTTCTACTTTGATCCTTGATGAAGTGCAATACAACAATTAACAACATCAGCCAGCAAAGAGACATCAGAAGCACTGCATATGCCAACAATGTGGACAATGCGCCCACAAA